TTCAATTTTAGTTTTTTTGTTGCTTTGTGCGTTTTCATTCACTGTAAATAGCGTTAGATACAGTACATCAGGGTGTATATTTTATTCCACTCATATTATCTCTGGATTCTCATTGTGGCTGTGTGAAATTGTATTCATGAAAGAATGCAGGTATCCGATGCTCGATATTCCAAGCTTTTAACAAAAGACCAACAAAGGATGCACACGAGAGCGTGACCACTCCTGTCAGCCCGTGCTGCTCGTTCACACATCAGGGTAGTAAGCATCATTATCGCTGCTCGAACTTTAACATGCTGACCTGTACTTGGCCCCTTGGCCCCGAAGCACAACTGTGCACACCACGTGTTTGTTTGTGTGTTTGCATGTGCTTTGAGCTCAATGAAGAGGCAGTGAGCGCGCAGAAGTAATCGGCTTACATGGCAACGCGTAGTGGATTGGCCCAGCCAGACTGCCATACACATAACAGCCTAGCATGTACAATAGCCTTCCAATTTTACAGACCAAATCAGCAACAATGCAGCAAGGGGGACCCAACATCAGTTTATTTTTTTCCACTAAATCCATGACATGTCCAGTACCAGATTATCACGACCGAAAGGCGCACTTAAAAGTCTTCAATTTTCTTAAAAACGGACGGGACGCCTAATAATGCCGGTCGCTGTGTTGTATTTGTGTTTGCGTGGTCAACTGAATGATATATGGAGTGTTATAGACTATCCAGTGTTTTTTGTTTTTGTTTTTTTAATACTAATGGAGAAATACCTTGCACAAATCAGCCCCGAAAAAAAAATATATATATGTGTGTATATATATGTGTGTGTGTGTGTGTGTGTGTGTGTGTGTGTGTGTGTGTGTGTGCTGAGACTATAATTCACCCTTCAATATTCCCATATGACGGTTGGTTGTCGTTTTTATCCAAACTATTTGTATTTGACTGCGATTGTCTGCGTGTGTTTGGGAAGGGTGTGTGTGCTCAACATGCTCCGCACACACTCACACCTGCCACGGATAGATTAATCTCTCCCGCACACAACAAACATTGGACTCGGCGGTTATGAAGGATGAATCATGAAAAATGTGTGAGAGCATGTAGAAACACACATGCGCAAACACCAATATACATGCACAAACACAAGCGCACACCTTGGGGTTGATTGAGTGAGATGTTTGCAGGTATGAGTGGTCGACGAGATCAACGATAAGTGATGGATGACAAAGAGAGAAGTACTCATGAAACCGGCAAGGACGGCAAATTACAAACACTTTCACAGTTTGATTTAATTTTGTGGTTTCCACTAGCAACTGCGGCAACAGCACACAACTGACTGTTGAAGTCTCCACCTCTGTTTGACTGCAGCATGTGAGGCGTTAGGTATCAAACCGACACACACGTGCCCTGAGTGTGTGTCTGGCATCTTAGGCTCTAAACTAATACTGACAGAGGAAAACCAAGTGAATCAATGTGGTCGCATGTTCCTTATTTTCCTCAGCGGCCCCGGCACGCACCTTTCTGGACGGTTTTCGTTTGCAGGACTCCTGCTGCTGCCTCGGTAATGGTTGCTCAATTGTTACCGCGGAGCTCATGACAACAGGGTAAACACAACAGTTTCAGCTGCGTGTGCTGTTGACATGCACACAATTGACAATATCACGTTGAAACGTAGCAACGGATCTATACAAATGAAACACAGAGACCGATCGCTTCTTTGAATTTTAATTCAGGTTGATCTTTTGCCGAAGAACCAGGTTATATAAATAACAAGCAATGAAAACAACTGACCTACATTTCATCTTTCCAAATATTTGACCTGTCGTCGGAGCTTTTCAGAGTGCCTTGAAAAAGTACTCATACCGCCCATGTGCTTTTTTTCACCTTGCAATCACAGTTACAATTTGCTGTCAGTATAAATTCACCTGTTCTGTGAAGGCCTCAGCGGTTTTGTGAGAGAACCCTGGTGAACGACGGCATCATGAAGAGACCAAGGAACTCACCAGACAGGTCGAGGATAAAGTTGTGGAGTAGTTTATGGAGAGGTCAGATTTAAGAATATATATATATATATATATATATATATATATATATAATTTTTTTTTCAGTGTCTTGAGGCACAAGGCCGATCAAGGGGCTGAATACAAATGCATCACATATTTTTCAGATTTGAATTTGCTTAAAATTTGCAAAGCAATCTATTAATTCTGTTTCACTTCACAATGATGTGTTACTTTGTGTTGGTCAATCATATTAGGTCTCTCTGTTTAAAAAAACAAAAACAAAACGAAAAGAATACCCCACATTGAAGTTTTTAGTTTTAATGTGGTCAAGTGGTGCTCTGTTTTGGTAAGTTCAAGGAGTATGATTCCTTTTTCAAGGCACTGTTGATATACTGTAGCTGTGTTAATTAATTTGCTTGTTTGTGTGAGGTGTGGCAAGTCGTCGGTGCGAATCCAAACGGTCTTAAATCTCACACACGTGCACACCCACACCGGCGCATCAGAGGACACTTTGATACTGTATGCGGAAAGACGCAAGCTTTTATCTCTCTTTTTAAGGGTATTAGAAAATGCCAGCGGACACACGCAAACACATTTCATCAACACTAAAGCAATTTCTGGGAGATATATTGGAGCCAACCTTTTGCCAATCCCCAACCGTGCCCTGAACTTAAAGTCTGATCTACAAACAAACAAAAGAGATTTCTCACTTCATTGCGATAGCCCGGCATTTCCTTGGATGTCACTCTTCTTGAAGATACTTTGAGAAGCTGACACAAATGATGATGAAAAGGTTGGTGCCTCAACAGGGGATTTATAGCAAATTAATTATCGCAGAAATATCACACTCTAAAAACATCTAAAGTCAAATATAATTAGTGTTAATGGATTTAAAGTTTTCATTGAGCCGCTGATGCTTTTGCATAATCGGACAACGAGCAGATGGGTGTGCCAAAATTTCAAGGTCAACCAAATTACAATGACGTTAAGGGTTCCTGTAATTTAGCACAGATGTAAAACCAGATGTCATGACACACATTTCGTATTTCGCTTTGTGCTGAAGATAAGCCTTTCAAAGGATTTAATCTTTGCAGGTTTTTTTTTACATTCAGGACAAAACTTAAGACAAGCACGCACACCAAAATTGCAAATTTCAACACTCTCTCGAAAAAAAACCAAACAAGTTCACTCGGTTGGACGCAGTCAAATGCAAGGCTTGTCATGCCAGTGTTGTTGATGTGTGAGCATGACTTTGTGTTTGCACATGACATTTCTTGTGTAAGTGTGTGTGTGTGCTTGCGCTTGACATGTCCCGATGAGGCAGCTGATTCGGGCTGCTGGTAGGGGGTACTCTAATCCGGCACGCACTCGCTGGCACTGTGCTACCTAGTTATTGCACAGACTGCCACTGCCCTGGGAACAGGAGCTCAAACTCATAGAGCGCCACACAGAGTTTCAGACAAATACACGCACATGCATTCATGCAAATACACACACACACACACACACACACACACACACACCCTTCTTGAGGCAATGTTCTTTCTGGTCTCACTTTTGGACTGGTGAGGACAGATGGGTGAACAGTGGGAGTCTGTGCTGCCATCACTTGAAAAGCAAAGGCATGCACGCACAAATACACACATTTTATATTCACGGACACACACACACACACACACACACGAACACAGGGCAGACTTGGTCAGAAAGTGGCAAACAGGCAAACAGTCAGGCTGCGATGCTCACGCAGAGTGTAACTCGCTGGGTCTCCGCCTTTAATACACACATTGACAAACATAGGGACACAGCATCAGTTAAGCCTTTGTTGCACGCATACTTATTTTGTTGGAAACACGCGCTCAGACTCCAACGTGGCCTCAAATTCACACGGCTTGACACACGCACACCAACACGGGATTACTAGAAACACGCACAAGTGCTCAAGCCTTTTTCACCCCTTACTGCACCCTCGCATGATGCACTTCATTCTACCATGTATGTAGCCGGAACATCTTTTCAACAGAAAATACTTTCATAAACATCTCAAAATGTAGAGCTTAAGGTTTAACCTCTACCCTAATGAGAAAACTACAGTTGTGCTGCAGTGCACATGCTGTGTCAATGCAGATATCATCCTTTCCTCATAATGTGCAGTTGCAAGATAAAATATCTGAAGCGGAATTTCTGCATAAATTGAGGTCTGATCATCTCATTCATATCAACAAACGGACAGTTTTTATTTCTTCAACTAAAACGGGAAAACAAAAACAAAGGCAGAGGTTGAGGTAATTTGTGGTAATTTATGAGAGAGGTGATCAAGTTGTTGACTCTGAAAGATGCTAAATAGCAATAAACAATTCTGAAATTCAATTTTGCAAACGTGGTTTTTTCCCCCCTCTGTCTGCATTCTTCAATATCTTGACAGATCTGCCCCATATTTGCTCCTCCATTTGGTGCTGTCAGACCTCATGATTTATGTTGTCTGACATCACCAAACTGGCTCTCGTGACGAGATGTGCCGTGTTCTCCACCGCTCCATACGAACGCACACAAACTCGTGCCTAATTTCATCTCATCTGAAGCGCCCTTCATTTTTGATTACCTGAAACCACAAACCCTGAATAAGAAAGAACCACTCAACCTTGCTGAGATCTCCAAAACAGTTGCCTCACCTTGCACGCGACACTAAACCATGTCCAGAATATTCCTGACGAGAGAGCCCTCTGGGTATTTCTGAAAGTGTGTCCACCTCTGCGTGTGTGTGTGTGTGTGTGTGTGTGTGTGTGTGTGCGTGCGTGCATGCATGAAGGAAACCATGCAGTATGCTTTAACCATGTGTTCCTTCAATTGAGACCTTGGAATAGCTGAATGTTCCATTATTGACTTTTGTGCGTGCGTGCCAATGTGTGTGTTTTTGTGCGTGTGTGTGTGTGTGTGTGTGTGTGTGTGTGTGTGTGTGTGTGTGTGTGTGTGTGTGTGTGTGTGTGTGTGTGTGTGTGTGCCTGAAGCAGCAACAGGTTCTACGAGCGACTCGAGCGACGAGTGCGCTTTTCTCTTGTGGTTGTAAAGCTCACAAACGGACGGGGGTTGTCTCAGCCACCTAGCAGCGGCTTGACAGGCCTTCGGTTCTCAGGTGTTCTCGGGTCAAACGGTGTCATCGTTGTACTAAAAGGCACAGTATCCCCGAAAGAGGTAAATTCACATTCAGTGAAAATATAACTTTCAATCAGTCTTGTTTGAATATTTTTACCACATTAGGAGTTCTATTTAAGAATAAGAATAAGAAAACCTTTATTCGTCTCACAATGGAGAAATTCCCATTCGTCAACATTTTTATTCACACACTTTTTTTAGTATTGTATTTTGTATCAGGTTAGCAATGTAGCTCTCTATTTACAGGTTGAGCCTGCTAAGTGCTTCATTGTTCGCAGCCCCGCTCGCGCATGGATTTTTAAGCGTTTGTTTTTGTAGCCCAATTTGAGAGTTGAGCACCTACAATGTGGTACAACGTTGTGGCGTTGAATATATGGAAACGCTTTGCACTTCCTGTACAGCAGGCATGCACCAAAGAGCTGTAATCCGCCAATGAACAAAGACGACGAAGGAGAAGAAGACGACAATTCACTTTTCTGGACAAGTACTGGAGTCCGTGCGACTTGGATTGGATTCAACCCTTGGCCACAACACGGAGCGGGCTCCTAGTTAATGTAAGCCATTTCAAACTTTAAATTAAATCACATTCTGGTTATCTATAATGGATTAATAATTCAATTTCAGGACTAGAATTGATTTTTTTTTTGTTTTAGGCAAAAAAAAGATACATTTTGTCAAAATGTGACTACATTTTAATTATATTAGGAAGGTGACAATATCTGTTTCTATTTATGATTCATTTAGAAGTTACACAGTTGGCCCTGAGAACATCTTTTATATTCCATGTGTAATTACTTCCACCGTTGGGCCACAACATAAATCAGCTTTGGTGTCAGGTGCATTTGTGAGAGAGACAGGAAGGCCATTAAGCCAAAATAAATAGATCAATAAACAAATAAATACGTTCCCATAATCATAACCTTTACATTGAGTATGAGCTAAACTTCCTAATTTATGAGATTGTAAATGTTTTTGCACTAAATCTCCATAACTTGATGCCAGGAGTCTTGTTGTCATGCCGCAGTGTGATTTTAGGATTTTCCTGACAACATTCTTCTTCCAAAGTCGGGTCATCATTTATCTTGTAAAGATTCTTCTTTTTGCTTCCCAACGCTGCCCTTTACTCACCCATTCTGCCCATAAGCCTTTACCGGCATTGAGGGGTCCAGTTTGGTTGCCCGAGTGTTGCATCACTACTTTTAGCAGACGATGCACTACTGTTGTCATCAAGTCACAGTTTCCAACTTTCACAGCCAAGTGTGAAGCAGTCGTGATAAGAATCAGCACCTCCATATCCGAGAGCATGTTTCTCACTCAAAAAATATGGAGTGCCCTCTCCCGTCCGAGGAAGAGATCCCGCCTCAGGTGGAGGCGTCCACGGATCTTGGAGTCTTGTTCACAAGTGAGCATGAATTTATGCAGCGTCTGCAATGATGCTGACTCTGTATCGGTCTACGTAAGAGTAAAAAAAAAAAGCTGAACTGAAAGTCGAAGCGCTCGTTTTACCAGTCGAACATCATTCCTACACAAACCTGACGAGTCGTGACCGAAAGAACAAGATCAAGTGGCCGAAATGATTTTTCTCCACGGGGTGTCCGGGCTCTCCCTTAGAGAGAGGGTGAGAAGCTCGGTATCCGGGAGGGACTTACAATTGAGCAGCTACTCCTCCACATTGAGAGGAGCCAGATGAGGTGGCTCGGGTATCGGATTAGGATGCCCCCTGGATGCCTCCCTGGTGAGGTGTTCCAGGCACGTTCCAGCAGGAGGAGCCCTCAGGGATGAACTGGGAATGCCTCGGGATGCCCTGGAAGAGTTCTACGTGGCTGGGGATAGGGAAGTCTGGGCTTCCCCGCTAAAGCTGCTGCCTCCGCCGCCTCACCTCGGATAAGTGGAAGAGATCGGACGGAGGAATGGATGAACAGAGCCTGTTTCATCAAATATTTAATCATCCCAGCTACAGTCTTTCTCGTGATTGCTGGTGGCCCGTAAATGGCACCCATTACTCTGCATACTCAAGTGATGTTGTCTGTTTTCGCCAACAGTCATCAATGAGAAAAGCGTGCACCACATTGACAAAAAGAAGTAGAGAAAGATCAAGAAGAAGATGATTCTTTATATTCGTCATCTTTGTCATGTATACAGATCACATAAAAGTTTTCGTGGCCATCAGCGCGGAACAGGGGGGCTAGGCCAGCCCCCCCCAGCAAGCAGTTGGCAATATCGGCGTCAGTGTCTTGCTGAAGTACACCGCAGCCGCAGGTACGGGGGATGTTGATGTTGGATGTTCTGTTGCTACATCCTCTCCAGCTTTTTTTTTTTTCCTTGCCTACATTCCTCTGCCGGCCGGTGTCATGAACCAGGTGCTGAAACTTGGCCACAGCTGCTAACTAAATGAATTCTGTTTGGGTTTTTTTTAACCATAAACATTTATATTACACATGCTGTTAAGCCTATTAAGGCATAAAATAATCAAATAAAATATGACTAACAAGTGAACCAGGAATTGTGGTCCACCATGAATAATGCATACGAAATGTGTGACTTTTAATTATTTACTGGAATGAAAAAATAAAAAGGATGTCGGCATGAACAACAGACATGCATAATGTGTGTTTGTTGCTGACAGCCCAAAGTAGAGCTAACCTCCAGCTGACCTCATGGGTGTGTTTTCTTTCTGCTGCAAGTTTTAAACAGCCGCCAAATATGTGCGTGCGTGTGTGCGTGCATATGTTTGTGTGTGTGGGTTTGGCAGACAAAAAGAAAAGTTTTGTAGGACATGATCAGGTTTTCTGCGGTGTATCCTATTCTGTAATTAAACATTCTCGCTGTAGCTTCCCACAGAGTCAGCATAATTATGGTTCGTTAAGGCATTGTTGGGTGAGTTTGGTGTGGAAGAACTTGACGAGAGCACACGCAGGCCTGACCTCATACCCGTCAAGCGCATTTGGAATGAACTAGAACCAAGATTGTGAGCCAGGCCCTGTCATCCAACATCAGGAACCACACAAATGTTCATTTTGTGAACAGACAAGAATTTCCGATTTCTGCGCAAACTGTTGTCGCAAGTCGTTTCTCAAAAAGTGGAAGCATTAGTTGGCACCTACTTTATGTTTCGTATTTTGATTTTGAACATGTGGTACGGCCATGGGCGGCACTGCGGTCGACTGGTTAGAACACCGGCCTCACAGTGCAAAGGTGCAGACTTCGATTCCGGCTCCGGCCTTCCTGTGTGGAGTTTGCATGTTCTCCCCATGCCCGCGTGGGTTTTCTCCAGGTACTCCGGTTTACGCCCACATTCCCAAAAACATGAATGCCAGGTTAATGGAAGCTCCGGGTACTCTGGTTTACTCCCACATTCCCAAAAACATGAATGCTAGGTTAATGGAAAACTCTAAACTGTCTTTAGGTGTGATTCTGAGCACAAATGGTTGTTCATCTGTGTGTGCCCTGCGATTGGCTGGCGACCAGTTCAGGTTGTCCCCCACCTACCGCCCAAAGACAGTTGGGATCGGCTCCAGCTTGCCCCTGACCCTTGTGAGGATAAGCGGATTAGAAAATGGATGGATGCATGGATGGTATGGCCACGTGTTCGAATGCTTTTGTTGGATTGGGGCTAATTTTAAGCAGTCACTCTTAGCTCTATTAGTGGTGTGAATCCTTTGTTATTTCCACTCAGAGGAGTAATATCTATCACCAACGTGTGTATTCATGTTGTTATGCAAAATAATTCTTTCTAGAGTAGGGGAGAAAAAAAAAGAATATGCAGGAGATGTTTTTTGCAGTGTCAACCGTTGGCTTGAATGCCCTGATGTTGATCCATAATGCATACACCCTTGTCAGTCACACACAAGTCTAACTGATATGGGTGTTTGCTGACAATCAAACGGCTGCCTAATACCCGTACTATCAGTGTTGTGTGACATCAGGAGAAAGGCGAGGACTAGAAAGAAATGCTGTGGGAACGTGGCTCATGTGAATAGTTGCTGTTGCTGGTGATTAGGTGGTGTATAAGAGGGAGGAGGAGGCACCTGGTAGAGGGTGTGGAATTTACAGAAGAGTAAGAAAGCAGTGCACTGAAAATGTAATTCATTTTGTGAAATTATCAGTAGCTAGCCTATCTCAAATGAAATGTGATGAATAGCGTGTTAATACTGTCATTTTTGGCTGATTTTTGGAGTGAGGACAGATGGATGACGGCGAAAGCCCATGGCTGTAGCGTGACTCAGGGTGTATGAATCCATGCATGTGTGTGTGTGTGTGTGTGTGTGTGTGTGTGTGTGTGTGTGTGTGTGTGTGTGACCCGTCCTTGAACTGTAGCCATCTGCCAGCACTTTGGCCTATCCTTAAACTACTTTATATGGTATCTATGTAGTTAGAAACCATCTTTGTGTGTGCGCGTGTTTATAGTGGCAACAGTATCTCATTTAATATGTTGCCAGAAAACGTAAAGTAGCATATCATTTACTTTCACGATGAACCTCAGTCTTTGTCTGTCTGAACTTATATTTTGCTGTCCATCTGGCTAGCTTGATAGCCCAAAAGCAACATTTTGGAAAGGAGCGAGCAATATTATTTATATCCGATCGTGGTCCTGCTCCAGGGGTCTGAAATCTGTTTCTGCTGGGACTTTCCTAATGAGAATGCAGTTCAAGCACTTGCAAATGCCCTAACGCTCTTTGTGATGACAATTGTTGGCTATGGGAGTGTGCCCTTAACGACCCTTTGGATGATAATGATTCATTTGCAAATTCTTTTCAACCAATATTAAATTTAATACACTACAGAGAGATGATATTGAATGTTCACACTGATAAACTTATTTATTGTTTTCCGTTATTCACGCTTTTTGGAGATGATGCCTGCAACATGTTTCAAAAATGAATGGACAGCATCATATTTACGACACTTCCTTTTGACAGCACTCATTTAGTGTTTGAGAATGGAGGACACTAATCGTTGAAGCTTTGTAGGTGGAATTCTTTCGCATTCCTGGTTGATGTACAATTTCAGTTACTCAACAGTCCTGGGTCTCTGTTGTCATATTTTGCACTTCATATCGCGTCACACATTTTCAATTGGAGTCAGGTCTGGACTGCTGGCAGACCAGTCTAGTACTCTTACTCTGTTAGTATGACCCACCCTCTTGTAACACGTGCAGAATGCGACTTGGCGGCGTCTCGCTGAAATAAACGGGGACGTCCATGAAAAAAGACCCTGCTTGGACTGCAGCATATTGTCTAGGTTTTGCATGGGTGCGTCGTAAGGATCCACATGCATGGAAGCAGGAAACTTAAGGCAGGGATACAGAGTGTACTGAACAAGTCAATTTGTTAATAATAACATTAGCAAGGGTCCTGAGGAAAACATGAACCCCCCCCCCCCAAACACCCCAAGCTCGATCAATGAAACACCAGGGAACAAAACACACCATGAGAAGTAACAAAACAATGTGACAGCTACAAAGAGTGAAAGACATGAGGAAACTAAATACAAGCCAATTGATGACACAACGAGGAACACCTTGACAAGTCACGAGTGGCCGAGGGAGCTGATTGGATGACACAGGGCAGCAGGTTGACAAGCACAGGTGGAAACAAAAGACCTAACGAGAAAGACAGGACATAAGAAAAGAAGTCCTAACAAGAAACAAACCTAAAAAGTAATCTAAACAAACAAAATAAACAAATGACACGTATGATGCTCCAAAACCTGAATGTACTTTTCATGGTGCCATCACAGATGTGCTTCTTATCAGAGGCATGGCCCCTAAATGGGTTATTGAACGCGGATGTTCCAATTTCTCTTCAGCCCGGAGGACATGACGTCCATAATTTCCAAAAACATTGAAGGATCTGGAGTCAACAGACCACAGCAGACTTTTCCAGTTTGTGTCACTCGATCTCAGATGACAAAGAAGTTGGCGGCATTTCCGGGTATTGTTGATATATGGCTTTCGCTTTGCATGGTAGTTTTAAGTTGGAACGACAAACTGTATTAATTGAAATCTTCCAAACACATGTGGCAAAATTATTCTGGTCAGATGAATACAATGTTGTAGTTATGTCCAAATCTTACCATGATTTAGGGCTGTTTTTCTTCAGCTGGAACTGGGGTTTTAGTCAAGCTGGAGGGAATTATGAACAGTTCCAAACACAAGTCAGTGTGAGCACATAACCTTCAGGCTTCTAATAGAAAGCAAAAAATAAATAAAATAACAAATGACAAAAAGCTTGCTATGACAGCTGAACTTTATTTGGGGTTTATCTGAAGCAATTGAAATGGTGGCAGTTGTGTTTAACTTGAGTATGTGATTGGTGAACGCCACATTCCCATTTATGAGGCTGTACACTGTACACATTTATGCAAGCATATCTCAATTCCTTATTTTTTCTTCCCTCACCAAAAAAAAAACCAAAAACAAAAACAAACATGTTTTAAAAATTGAGTTTTACAGGTTATAAAAAATATATATACACTGGCATGTAAACAGTGGTGTTTAGACTTTTTCTATCCCCTGTGCATACATGCTTTGACACAACATATTGAGAAGAAAGCCAGACTGGCTGGTTTGCTGTTGTTGTCGAGTCTTAAAGCATTACACACTGAACTCTGTTAGGACTTGTCTGTTTCTGTGGGTATTAATGAGTATTACTAAGGGCGCATTGTCCTGCCTTGTGTGTGTGTGTGTGTGTGTGTGTGTGTGTGTGTGTGTGTGTGTGTGTGTGTGTGTGTGTGTGTGTGTGTGTGCGTGTGTGTTGCTTCACCCTCAAGAACCCTGTCATGTCACAGTGACCAGAAAGCAATTATCATTGCTGCTGTGAGGAGGGCCTTGTTGGCTCCCCTATCCCTGCAGGGAAGGTGAACAAGCCGCAATGAAAGAAACGAAAGAGTTTAAAAAAAAAAAAAAAAAAAAAAAAAAAAAAAAAAACAAAGCTGTGGTGAGAGGAAAGAGGAAAATAATTGCAGAGACGTGGTGAAATAGGGACCACAGGGAGGAAAGTAACAAGGGATGGTGAGGGAAAACATTGGAAGAGAGAATGTCAGTCTGACATTGAGGACTCTAAAAAGCCAATGTGCCCTTACCACATTGAAGGACGCTCACTCGCCATGCTCACAATAGACACACACACACACACAAACACACACACGCACACACACACACACTGGCTCGACAAACAAATACTCACAGTGCAAGGCTTGCTACTAACTGATGTCTTCAGTCAGAAAAAGTCTTTGACTGAAACGACCATGTTTGGATGTATTTGTCCAAGTCCAAAGCTCCCAATCGCTTCTGACCAAATTAATCTTTGGTTATGACAGAGAGTAAAACATTATCGCCGTCCATTGGCACAGTCCCTCACAAGCTGCTCTTCCGCTCTGATGTACTGACCTCGTGAGGTAACAAACATGACTGAAAGCCAACTGCTCTGCTGTGGCTGCAGCTCCATTGACAACAAGATCGCTCAGATCTGAGTGAGAACCAACAGGATGTCTTAGCAATGTGACCGGACTGGGAACTGAATGTTCTGGTCCGGCCGGCTGAACGCACACTGTGTATGCAAAGAAGAGGTTTTTTTTTTCCGTTATGTTGGCAGGGTTTACGTTTCTCCCAAAAGTGTTGTTTTGAATGACAGGAGGGTTTGTGACCGTTTTTCTAAGCGTCCAAAAAGAGTTCCACATCATCCTCCTGCGAGATGACGGATGCCGATCTTGTCCAAATTACAAATGAAACACAATTTCATGGAATCTCAAAAAAGTTTGTGTGGCAACATTTACCGGTACGTTTTTCAGGCTGCTGCTAACAGACGGCGGGACAACGATCGAAAAATACACCGCTCCTTTTGCTGTGGAAATGATTATATAGACTGGTAATGAACAGACTTAATTCATTGCCTGCCTTCAGAAATATGCTTGGTATGAACACTGATCTTTAAAGACATGACATTAATGGGGACAGCTGTGACCATTATCCCTCGCGTTGAATAAATAAGGGCCTTAGAAATGATCCATGCTGCTTTTTTTTTTTTTCAGTCAAGGCAAATGGTGGATCCTTGGCTATGCTTTTCACTCCTACTTGAAGACAGAGGCCTGTATGCAAATCTGTCTGTTTAGGGCAGAAAATTTTGGCGTGACAGACTTCCTCACGATTCGGACTTGGAACTTGAGTGCTTTTCACTTGCGTGATGTGCACTTCTGCCTGAAGCTGCAGTAAGTCCAGTGTAGGCTGACAAGTCGTTGGCAACATACAAGGCCTAAATGTTGCCGCTAAGCGTTTTTTTCTCCCAGATCTGCTTTTAAATATATCTATTCAGTGGCCTGGAAACCAGTTATGTAAAATACAGGGTCAGGCGAAAAAAAACATACTTACCGTTAGTACTGAAGATTAGCTTTTAAAAATGAGCCCTGTACAAACATGACATGAATTCACCCGACATCATATATCGATCAAACAGGGAGTTGCATTTATTTCTGTCCGCAAATTGGGACGTCAGCCCGCAGGAGGAAACACTAGCAGCACAGAAGCTACACACCAACAAAGCCTTTCTGACTGAGGTGTTGTGTTTCATGGTTTCTCCTCACACCCCCTATGGTCCCTGGATGCCCCGCTCCTTCTGCTAGCAGCTTCTCTTTCAGAAAATTCTCCTGCGCCTCTTTCACCCTGCTGGTTTTCTTCACTGTTTTCCTCACCTTTTGTTTGGTTTTCTTTCATGTTCCCATCTGAAACCTCAGTCTGTCTATTGTATACCTCCTTCCACGCTTTTGAAGGACGCTCACTCGCCATGCTCACAATAGACACACACACACACACAAACACACACACGCACACACACACACACTGGCTCGACAAACAAATACTCACAGTGCAAGGCTTGCTACTAACTGATGTCTTCAGTCAGAAAAAGTCTTTGACTGAAACGACCATGTTTGGATGTATTTGTCCAAGTCCAAAGCTCCCAATCGCTTCTGACCAAATTAATCTTTGGTTATGACAGAGAGTAAAACATTATCGCCGTCCATTGGCACAGTCCCTCACAAGCTGCTCTTCCGCTCTGATGTACTGACCTCGTGAGGTAACAAACATGACTGAAAGCCAACTGCTCTGCTGTGGCTGCAGCTCCATTGACAACAAGATCGCTCAGATCTGAGTGAGAACCAACAGGATGTCTTAGCAATGTGACCGGACTGGGAACTGAATGTTCTGGTCCGGCCGGCTGAACGCACACTGTGTATGCAAAGAAGAGGTTTTTTTTTTCCGTTATGTTGGCAGGGTTTACGTTTCTCCCAAAAGTGTTGTTTTGAATGACAGGAGGGTTTGTGACCGTTTTTCTAAGCGTCCAAAAAGAGTTCCACATCATCCTCCTGCGAGATGACGGATGCCGATCTTGTCCAAATTACAAATGAAACACAATTTCATGGAATCTCAAAAAAGTTTGTGTGGCAACATTTACCGGTACGTTTTTCAGGCTGCTGCTAACAGACGGCGGGACAACGATCGAAAAATACACCGCTCCTTTTGCTGTGGAAATGATTATATAGACTGGTAATGAACAGACTTAATTCATTGCCTGCCTTCAGAAATATGCTTGGTATGAACACTGATCTTTAAAGACATGACATTAATGGGGACAGCTGTGACCATTATCCCTCGCGTTGAATAAATAAGGGCCTTAGAAATGATCCATGCTGCTTTTTTTTTTTTTCAATAAAGGCCAATGGTGGATCCTTGGCTATGCTTTTCACTCCTACTTGAAGACAGAGGCCTGTATGCAAATCTGTCTGTTTAGGGCAGAAAATTTTGGCGTGACAGACTTCCTCACGATTCGGACTTGGAACTTGAGTGCTTTTCACTTGCGTGATGTGCACTTCTGCCTGAAGCTGCAGTAAGTCCAGTGTAGGCTGACAAGTCGTTGGCAACATACAAGGCCTAAATGTTGCCGCTAAGCGTTTTTTTCTCCCAGATCTGCTTTTAAATATATCTATTCAGTGGCCTGGAAACCAGTTATGTAAAATACAGGGTCAGGCGAAAAAAAACATACTTACCGTTAGTACTGAAGATTAGCTTTTAAAAATGAGCCCTGTACAAACATGACATGAATTCACCCGACATCATATATCGATCAAACAGGGAGTTGCATTTATTTCTGTCCGCAAATTGGGACGTCAGCCCGCAGGAGGAAACACTAGCAGCACAGAAGCTACACACCAACCAAGCCTTTCTGACTGAGGTGTTGTGTTTCATGGTTTCTCCTCACACCCCCTATGGTCCCTGGATGCCCCGCTCCTTCTGCTAGCAGCTTCTCTTTCAGAAAATTCTCCTGCGCCTCTTTCACCCTGCTGGTTTTCTTCACTGTTTTCCTCACCTTTTGTTTGGTTTTCTTTCATGTTCCCATCTGAAACCTCAGTCTGTCTATTGTATACCTCCTTCCACGCTTCATGTTTGACTTCGGCTGCCGGTCTATTGCAAATGGTTTCTTTTGGTGTCGGCTTTCCCTTTGCGCAAGTGTGAAGCACCAATGCCACTGAAAAGTCTGCTTGCCGTACCTGTCGGTCTCTTTTTTTTCCAAGGTCCTCTGTCTCGCTGCAAATCATGTGGCCTAACAGCCTTTGGTGACAAGTTTGGTTCTTAGCCAGTGTAACTTATATACTGTATATATATATATGTGTGTGTGTGTGTGTGTGTGTGTGTGTGTGTGTGTGTGTGTGTGTGTGTGTGTGTGTGTGTGTGTGTGTGTGTGTGTGTGCTGAGAGACGAGTTAGAGCATTTTGGCGTGGAGTTTCACAAGATGAGAGGATAGAAGGAGCAACTAAGCAGCTGATGTAAGCATGAACAGAATGTGGCAAAGCACTCACTTTCTCATTCATGCACATGAAAAAACATGCACACTTCCCCGGTTGGTAGCGCGGGTGGATTGCGGTATGTGGAATGTGCCAGGTGAAGAGCAGGTCATCCCTCTGTGTACGCTTCCTCAGTCAATCAAATGTTTTGTACTTGCCCCGCCCAAACCAGGAAGTACAGATATTCCCAGTACTGCTGAGATGCACCACCGTGAAGCCGTCACACCAAGATCTAGCAGAGGGTTGAAAGCTGGATGGATGTGCTTTAGAAAAAAATGCTTCAGATGGTCTATCACTGTGTAGGCACCTTTTAATGCCCTGATATTCAATTCTCCAAGGCCTCATAATGTGTGGTGCTTCTCATGCTTTAGTAGCACAGCTCGAATTTTGCACACTGCAGCTAACTAGAGACTAGCTTGTGGACAATGTAGCGTGCCCTCCCATGTGGCGTGTGCCCTCCCCTATTCCTTAGCCCTGCGCGTTACAGACCAAATCAAACCGAACCATAATATGTTTGTGCATTTTTGACACTGGCAATCTGGAATAAGACCCTGTTTTTGGTTAATAAAGGGATGGGGATTTCGATTTAGAATGTTTATTTTTAATCCAATCATCCATTTGTATGGAAAAACAAATTGACAGATTAATCAATTATTAAAATAATCATTTGGTGAGCAGCTCTAATTAATTTTCAAAATGTGCAGCTCATCCGTGTGATCGGTAGAGGCTTGTTTTATAATTCATATTCATTGAAATGTCACCCACTTCAAAAGTGCACTCACAGACACTGGCAAAGAGCCACAATGGGAGATATTCACTCACACAAACATCCTCCTACGTTTTGGGGGAGTAAATGTAAAATGTTACCTCTATCTGTTTATCACAGCATTAAAGGACTACTTGACCTGACTGACTACAGATGAAGCACTCATTTGGTCACTAATGTTTCCTCCCTCTCCCACTTTAAGTTCACCATCACCTCCTTCTTCTCTCCTACAATTTGTGGATCATAAGAAAGGCTTTCTGTATTTATTATGCTAGGGAGAGGATATCATGCAGAATTTGTGGCAGAGTTTTCGGCGTATCGTATTGACAGAATGTGAGTGCTTTTCACAGTGTGTGTCTTGGATGAGAACAGATTGGACAGACTTGTTTCAGTGCACTTGTTACTCTTTCAAATTGAATACAAATGCAACGCACAGTCAATGGAACTCGATGTGTTTGCGTGTCTCTGTGTGGAATGTGCACGCATATACATCCAAGAGAGGGATCAGGGTCTCAGAAGGAGAGGAAGGAGGGGAATTTTGCAGTCGCACGTGACCCACCCAGACATATGGACATATGCTGTAGGGAGAATCAACCTTAAGACCATGTTACATCTTGTGGTCTATGTCGAGGAGGATAAAGAGGAGTGGGTGCACTCGAGTCTGAGACTTAATAGCATGATAAGGAGTGCATGTATGGGTGAGTGTGAGGACACGGCTAGCCGGGGTCACTCTTAGCAGCTCGGCAACCTAATCTCTACATAACGGCACTGTGTATAATACTGAATTTTGTGGATTTCTTGACTCTTCCAGACCCAATATGGATTACAGTTTAACAGTACATCGAACAATTGCACTGGTTTCTGAGATGGTCATTCCGCCGCTGGGATAGAACCGACGGAAGGACGGAGGACGAGAATTTTTTAAAAAAGGACGGACTAACCAAGGATGGAAGTTTAAACGTCCCTAACCGGGTTCAGTATATGTTGTTGGGAGGCAAAATAACAAGGCCAGATTGTAGCCAAACACTGTATTTCCTTAACAGGCCATTAACAGCACAACACTCGTTCGTACGACTCACTTTGTTACCATTACAGAACTCCTCTTCTTCCTTCTCATCTGAACAGTATTTTTACAGAAACAGCACCACCTTGTGGACAGTCAGTGAACACAACATAGTACAGTACCTAGGACAGCCATTTGACTAACGATCAAATCCAGCCGGTTAACAAAGCTGGCTGTGTTGTATGTCTGTCAGTGCCCGCCCAGCAAGACGCTTATGCCTCCCCATTTGAACCTGTGTTGTGAAATACTAATGTCGAGTTACTTATCACGCAAACATTAAAAATATAGCGAAACAGTGATGTCATTTTGATTGATGGCCAGTCTGATCTGCAACAGCCAATCACGCCGTTACTGAAAATATGCATTGGTAGGCATGCGATTACGTAATGGATACTTCAATGTTTGCATGGTTGACATTTTTCAAAGTGTGGCATTGTGTAATGTGGCAAGGCACGGCATGTGTTTTGTGATTTATGATTGACGTGTTTCTCTCGTGAAGTGACATCAGCTTTGTAGTGAGTGCCTCCATGAGGAGGAACACAGCGTAAAATCTCGAATACTTGGGCGATCATTCGAATATTTTCAGAGGTTGACGTCAACATCAATTTTAGTGATGATCCATCGCAGTTTTGATACATTAGTCGACGTTTGGATTCCTACATTACTGAAAATATTGATGCTGTTGTATAATTACAGGGGCTTTTCATTTCAGAGGTTCGACTGATTTTTGAAAAAAAATCAACCTGGATATGGTTAGAAACCTTGGATTATTAACAATGGGAGCATTAAACGTACCTGGACCGAACACGCTTATTTGTGCTGTAATGCAGTGGCGAAATATGACATTACAGTGTAATGTCATATTTTGTCGATCCGATCAATTATATCATTGATCACTCGGGAAATTATAATATTGCAGCTCATTGCCAAATTTGCATGACATGCAAAATGTCCGCCAATCCGATCCATCCAATCACATCTGTGTAATGTCTGAATATATTTCATACTTCCACCAATTCAAATCGGAGTGTTGAGAGAGCATCTGGACCAAAAAATGTATTCATTGGTTCTTCCTTGGCCCATACGCCACCACGACATGAAACACTGCAGATCCAACCTCCTCGGAGGATGTAATTATTCCTTTATCTGGCCCACGAGTGGCAGCCAAATCATGCAAAGTCTCGACTGAAGTCCAGATGGGATGACTGAGTTGATCAGCTCACCCTGTTTTCACTTTCCGATTGATTGGTTGCCTGTTTACCAGCCGTCTGTGTAAGAGTGCGTGCGCATATCGACGCCTTAAAGTCACACAATTCATCAGAACGATCCCACCGACTCCAAAACCTTTGAATCCGTGTCAAGATCCCAAAATGAAAGGGGCCAGATTGTTTCTGTGTAGGATGTGTTGCCACGGCAACTGCCCACCCTTTGACTCCCACCCCCATCAAACATCAGTTTTCACCACCTGTTGTGTTTTTGTGGCGCCAGCCCATTGCCTTGGAAACACATGCACACATATTTGAGGTGCAGTCTAAGGACAGCGAGCAGCAGCTGTGGAATCTCTCTGATCCTGCATGCAATCTGATCAGCGAGTCACTCAAGGGCAATTTGCTTTGTCGTGACCACATATACCGTGCTTACTCTTCCCTCTCACTCTCCGTGACTCTCTCACTACCGCGACCATCCTTTTCCTTAATTTGTTTTGCCGATGACACCTGAATCTTGGATTTGTAGCATGCTTGCAGTTTGTGCTTGAGCCTTTTTTTTTAATTTATATTTATTTATATACTTTTTGTTCTTCTACTTCTCCATTTAATAATTTTGCTGCTGTAAATTGGGTGTTTACCAGCCGTCTGTGTAAGAGTGCGTGCGCATATCGACGCCTTAAAGTCACACAATTCATCAGAACGATCCCACCGACTCCAAAACCTTTGAATCCGTGTCAAGATCCCAAAATGAAAGGGGCCAGATTGTTTCTGTGTAGGATGTGTTGCCACGGCAACTGCCCACCCTTTGACTCCCACCCCCATCAAACATCAGTTTTCACCACCTGTTGTGTTTTTGTGGCGCCAGCCCATTGCCTTGGAAACACATGCACACATATTTGAGGTGCAGTCTAAGGACAGCGAGCAGCAGCTGTGGAATCTCTCTGATCCTGCATGCAATCTGATCAGCGAGTCACTCAAGGGCAATTTGCTTTGTCGTGACCACATATACCGTGCTTACTCTTCCCTCTCACTCTCCGTGACTCTCTCACTACCGCGACCATCCTTTTCCTTAATTTGTTTTGCCGATGACACCTGAATCTTGGATTTGTAGCATGCTTGCAGTTTGTGCTTGAGCCTTTTTTTTTAATTTATATTTATTTATATACTTTTTGTTCTTCTACTTCTCCATTTAATAATTTTGCTGCTGTAAATTGGGAATTTCTCCATTGTGAGACTAATAAAGATTTTCTTATCATATTTTATCTCATGCATAATTTGCTGATCATCTTTTACTGCAACTAATGCTACTCACCACAAAGCACAAAGCAGCTTTTAGATGGCGGCAAATCTTACTGATAAAGGCAATTGGTTTTCTCGGCATTAGTCAACAGATGAGTTTGACTAAGGCCTGAGCGACATTTTTTTGTCTGTGAGCTTCTGGGAGCCGTATATATTTTCTGTAGCCAATCGTCCGGAGACTATGAGCTCATTGTTTCATCAGAAGATGAAGAAAGACATCGATCATTCAACACAGGACAACACCAGATTGAACTGATGGATTAGAGGGGCTAGAGGGATGGATGCTCATAAGCAAGACGAGAGATGAAAGAGGAGATGATGAATGAGTAAAGGTCAAGAGAGCAAGAGCGACGGCTGGAAGTGATTGATGTGTTACAGCTTGTTTTCATAACAACAATGCACACTGACTATTTGCTCCATGCTTGGCCACGTGCGCTCATGCGTGCCTTTAAATGTATAGTTTGTAACATTGGGACTGACTGTTGCAAGCTATTTGTGTGGTCTCTCGTTTTTTTTTTCCAGATGCACTGCATGATTGAAGCAATATTACCTTTGCAACCGACCATTCCGCCGTAACAGGTAACGTCCTCACACAAAGGCCACAGCAAAGATCGTTGACTGAGGCAGACACTCCAGCATGTCACCCTCCCCACCAAAAAACATGTTTTTGTGGAACCATCCATTCATCCATCCATTTTCTGATCCGCTTTATCCCACAAGGGTCGCGGGGCGTGCTGGAGCCTATCCCAGCTGTCTTCGGGCAGTACACGGGGGACACCCTGAACCGGTTGCAAGCCAATCGCAGGGCACACAGAGATGAATAACTATCCCACGCTCACACTCATACTTTGGGACAAGTGACTGTTAGCTTCTCATTTTGTTGGTTAACAAATGCTTACTGCTGGTTTAACCCAAACCTGATCCACTTGTCAACAACAGTCCGTACACCTGTGTGTCTCACTTTTATGAGAAATTCCTCAACTGGATCTAATTACATACCGTAGCTATTTTCTTCATCGTCTCTGATTACAGCGGAGAAGACAGTGTGAAGATGAATGTTTGATTCCTGTGTGCGTTTGTCATCCACAACAGCTGATTAACTGATTTTTACAGCCAGCTGACAGTTACAGGTATGCACCCTTGTGTAAGCTATAATTTGAGTGATGCGTGCGCTCGTGCTGCCATCGCGCATGCTTGATTTATTCTGGCCCCCGAGCTAAATTTGGCACCACCGTCAAATTTCCTCACTGGGATTGTCAGATTCATTTTTTGGAGAAAATCTATTCTGTGTAAGTCACGCTGTTTACGACACAAGATGACTCGCACACTTGTGTACTCGATAATATGATGTGATTAAGCAAAGATGGATAGTTAGGAGCCGCATTTACTCTGTAGCATTTTCGTTTGTAATTATTGGGGGATAAATCGTTCACATCAGAGTACTTTTTAATTGAGCTACATTTTTTTCGTTGATTATTGCTTGTATGACTTGCTTGTTTTAGTTTGTCAGAGAGACTTCTGTCACTTCAGACTGTTCCGCCAATCCAACGTAAGCAGTGGCAAGCTTTGAGTCCAAACCGGTCAAACGGAGCCAGGCAGTCACACAAATCCTCTGCAGCAAGTTTTCGAAGGGACTCATTAACATGAAACATAGCTTGGCATCTGTTTACCTTTCAGACTTTGGAAAAGAACAGCCACGTCATGCGCTGTTGCTCGTGTCTGTGTGAAAATGTCCATATTTCAGCCTACAAGAACTTGAGTTAAAGAAAGTTCACTTAAGGCCATTTTGAATGGCTGAATTTGCCTTTATAAAAATGCTTTTAAATTGATTGTTTTATTTTGTTATTTTTGAAAGATTTTTTTTTTAAATGATGGATTTAGCACAGCACAGAATCAAAAGGCTATTTTCTCAGTCTGGTATTTCATGACTGTGAAGAAGTAGTTTGAAGACAACATGGCCTCATAGAATTGCAAGTAACGCAGAGCAGACTAATTGAATCTTCCCTTTTTAATGATCTCTCGGGATGTTTGTTTTTTGTCTTCGCCAAAACCGAAAGAGAGACAAGCGAGAGGGGCCCAGATGTAGCTTGTCATTTATCAAAAGCAAACCACCTTGATTTTCAAAGTCAAAGAGAATTTGTTGTCATTGGAACAAATGTGGGTATTGTGTTTCTCGGTTTAAGTCACTGCCAGGGCACGTCCTCTTTGCTGAAGATGAGACCATGGAACAGGAAACTCATGTTTGTTTTCGTTTCTTGCTGAGGCAACCAAGTGTTTTCCCTGTTGCTCAATCAAAAAAACATAAGGAGCTGTGACATACTGAGTGGTCACATGTGTCTAATTTGCAGCGTATCCATTCGAGATCATATAGATGTGTCGGCTGAACATGTACAACGTTTGACTAATCTAAATAAACAGTAGCTATGACATGACAGGTGGGACAATATTTTGAAAAGAGCGAGAGAGAGAGAAAGAGAGAGAGAGAGAGAGAGAGAAAGAGAGACAGATGCAACTGGAATCGAGATGTGACACGAGGAACAAAGCAAGGAAGAGGAAGACTGATAGCTAGTGCCAGGCAGCTGTGAGTGTATCTCCGGGATTGCCAATTGTCAAACAGGATTACATGGAACTCAAACTATCATTGTAATTTATAGAATGGAAAGAAGTAATGTGTTTTAGCTCGTTCGGCAGAGGAAAATGAACAAATCACTGCACGTCTGAGGAAGATGGACGGTGAAAACAGGCTGCGTGTTTGTGACCTCAGACATGCGAGCGCTCTCACTCCGTATCCTCATTGCGTGTGGCTGCAAGGTCATAGGGTGAGAGAGCCAGCTACGCACACACACACAACAAACACATTAACTGATCATGTCGCCGGAGAGGGGATTAGGGCGGGGAGGGTGGGGGGGAGGGGGGCGACGTTGTTAGAGGGTAAGGGTGAAGTCTCCCTTCTCCACATATTGTCATGGCACGCAGTGTTTGAGTTCAAACTGATTTCCAATTTACTTTCTCAAGAGCGAGGCAGCAGCCGCACATAAAAGAAAAACGCAGGCCCACACATGCACACAGCACATTCACTTTGCATTTTCACCACTAAGAGGATCTTAAAATCGCTCATGTAAATTGCTTTGCCTGGAACTCATCCATCATAGATGTTCTTTTCAAAAACAAAAGTATGATTGTCATGTTCAGAATGCTTGCTTGAACTTTTTGCTCATCCCAGTAGGGGAGGACGGAGTGATTCGAAGTGAAGTTTGATATATCCCACTTTGTGATGTAGTTGTAGGCGTGCTCACAGACGTTCTGGCTCAAGTGTTGATCAATGACCCTTGCAAAATTCAGAACATTGTTCGCCTGCCAATCAGAGCCTGAAGGAGACATGTCTCCTCCTCAGGCCAAGTCAGAAATAAATATACAGTGGAAGTTGTCATACAAGTCTAAGAATTTTAAAATGTGAGAATAAATTATACCGAATGTATGTGTTAATTGTATTGCTGCTTTCAATGCAACTCTGTCATTGTCATACTGGGGTGTATAATACTTGCATACTTGCAGTGTATGTTCTCTTTTCATGGCCTTCTTTTACCACCTCTTATGTTGAAGGACGTTCGTTCTTTTAGAACTCCGTGAATTAGAGGTTCAGAGAAAAGCTGATCGGGTACAAGGGTGCCTCTACTTACGAACGTCTCTTCTTACGAAGTTACGAAACGCCTTAACAGGAAAATATTGAATCTTGTTACGGAAGAAATTTCAAGCTACAAAATGTAAAAATACAGAATGGTCTGCAAGTCGCAGCTCCGACTTTCCTGAACGCAACATACTTATAGCTGCTCTTCCATTGGCTACTACCGAGCATCATCCTGGCATCCCATTGGCTGAGAGGGACCTCTACTGCATGTGTCTATTTGTGTAGATACTGTAGATGAATAGACAGATAAACCTGTGTCTACACCGCGTCCTCATCCTTCGCCATGAGGGGTTCCGATCGTTTTACGTAAATGTGAATAACCCAGAAAAAGTTCACCAGTCCGGCGATCGCTCACTCAGGTTGCTTTGGTCATTTTCGAAGGATTGTTAAAAGCTGACAAAAGCAAGCGTCTTTGGATCAGTTGTTTACAAAACGCCAGGTAAAAACCAGTTTTTAGAGAGAACATGCACGAAAGAGGGCAAAAAACAATGAGGATGCAGTTAAAAGTTAAGCGGCCATCAGTTTTTACATTATGCGCAACTCTCATTTATTGTGCAGTAATCTAATTGTAATATGTATTTGTTACATATTTTGATGCATTTTTATGCTTTACAAAACATTTATGTCTGAACTTTTTTGGGGGTGGGGGGGCTTGGAACGGATTAGGGCATTTACATGGAAAACGCGTCTCTACTTACAAAATTTTCTAGTTAAGACATTTCTTCCAGAACCAATTAATTTCGTAAGTAGAGGTACCACTGTGTATATCTGGCGTCTCTTCTGTCGTGTGTCAACTGACTTATTTCTCTTGATCTCTTTTTTCTTAATTTCCTTTCAACGAATAAGATGCCTGTCATTTCCTAGCAAATCATCCGCTTCCTCTGCTTCACCGCGCCTCTTCATCTCCTTTCTCCCACACAGATGGGGGTGGACGGGTGTTGTTGGGGTTAAAGTCAGATGAGATCTACTCTTGGATCACTGAAGGAGATCATGGCCTCTACGAAGTGCCAGTGAGAGGAGAGTCCGCTGTGAGGCGTGCGCAACAGATGGAAGCACTTCTTAGTTGGCGTAGAGTCATGTTTCTCACACTCCACTGTGCACAGATGCGTGCACGTCAATAAGCGGAGAGCGCCATGCCGGTATGCAAGGAGACACACATCGACCCGCATGTGTGCACCCACACAGAGCCTCTCATCTCCCCTGCAGGCGTTGCAGGGATGTGGGGTGTTGTTCACATGGTATCTGCTGCTATTCTTTTTCTAAGCCACTGGAAGCCTGGTGTGTTCAATTAAACTGATTTATTTCTGCACTCAGCAGTCCGTGATCCCCTGCCCCCCTCTGGCGTCCTATAGCGAGCGATATATGAGAATACGCTGGGTGGCACAAAGCCTTTGGAGCAATCCACTATAGTTGAGCTAATTTAATGCTGTACAGTAAATACTATTCACCAAATGCTAGATTAGAGACTGGTAAACAATATTGTGGCTTTGAGCGCAAAAACATCTGCCTAATCAAAATGCCCGCATAAACACACTATTATTTGAAGGGCCTATATTAGATTTGAACCGCTCCAAAACACTAACCCACATAATGGCCATTCGTTTGCTAAAGTCAGGTGACGATTGGGTGCCCCCAATCCAAGACTACACTAGTTTTTATGAGTTGACCTATATACACATCTACGACTAAGTCTCACCGTCCAAATATTTTTAGTCACTGTAAAAACTTACTTTGGATTCATAAGAACATCATATCTGCATGTGTTTGTCAGGTTTAAAAGGGCAAGCACAGGAGAATCAAGAGGAGTGGTTGTCATTTCAACAATGGTGTGATATTACTCAGGAGCTGCTGTTGGAATGGCAACACAAAGAGGCACAAATGAACCCTAAGTGGAGCGCTGCTAAGGAGTGAGTGTTAACTCTAAGGTATGAAACTGGAGAGGAGCTGGCAGGAAGCTCACTCTCGTCTTTCCTCCGCTACTAATACATTATCTCCCCTGTTTTACAGCCTCACAGCAAGAGTCAATGGTGTGAATATCAAAAGCACATCCCCCACATCCCAGCACTCAAACCTGCTCTCTCGGTTCTCCAGCTTGCTCCCCACAATCCAAAAACGTTGAGGCTCACTGAAGAGACTATAGTTGGGAATCCTGTCTTGGCCAATTCTGTGATTGTCAGATGATTAGGCCGTGTACCAAGTCAATGGACCAAAGTCAACTCCCATTAGCTTGAACTTCTCCATATACATGCACATTATATGTAGTGTAGATAAGTCTTTGTTATTGACTATTTTGAAGAACCAAAAATGTCTTTCACGCTCAGCCTGGAGTACTTTACTGAAGCACCATTTAAGATAACTTTCACCAGATTTTCTTCTCGTATGATTTATAAAACCACAACCACAGATTAGTGACAGATGGAAATAGCTTGTTTCGATTTTAAATATTTCCAATGCTTTCTTGTCTGGGAGGACTTGAAAAGGAGCATAAGCAGACATACCTTCTTTGTGGCTATAAAAACTCTATAATCCTCTACAGCATAGGTGTCAAACATATGGCCCGCGGGCCGGAACCGGCCCCCAGGGAAGTTTCATCAGGCCTGCGGGATAATTTAAAAGTGAAAAAAATACATAAAAGACACAGAATTAATAATTTTAATAAGGTGCAATTCATGGAGTATCCGCTAGGGGACACACTGTTTTGATCAGAGTTGAAGACACACAGAAGGTTTTTATCAAGATGTAGATTCAGTTAGCGTTTGCATGTTCTCATGTTTGGGTCTTCTATTGCAGTGGTCCCCAACCACCAGGTCGCAGACCAGTACTGGGCCGTGGGCCACTTTGAACTGAGCAGCAGCGGACCGCCCAGATGAAAGAATATCAAAACTTACAGTCCATTTATTAATTATCCTAGGCTGAAAAGTAATTTATTTTGCAAAGTGACCTAATTCTCTCCACCTTACATCCTTCAATGCTAATTGCTTCAGTCGTGTGAAGCCCGCTCTGCACAATATGTGGCGAGCAGCTCTTGCTTAAGCATTATGTTGAGTGATATAGTTTCATGTAATTTATATTTGTTCAATGATGCCATATGTTGGCGCATTATTGTAGTCACATAAAAACATGGCTTAACGTTTATTATTGTGTTCACAAAATGCCCCAGTTTTTGTTGCTGTTATTGTTGCCGCTTGTAAAGGTACATAAAAATACACAGTGGACTTGTGTTCATTGGTGTGACATTTTATTAATCGGCCAACCCCGCCTTTGCTGTGATCAAAATAAATACCCCATACAATAAGCTGCTGGAGCTAAATAAATTGCGAATGTTAACAGAAGGTAAATTAATACATAATGGATTTCAAAACACCTTGGCTCATTAATACGGACATACAATGACAGCTCTGCATTCAATTATAGCGTAATTGGTGTGCTTCCTACTCGCGGCTAATTTTCACTGCATTAACACTCCTTTTTGAACTCATCGTAGCTTCATTGTGTGCCGCAGCTCATTGTTTAGTTGTCATTTTGCAACTGTTACTCATTTACATCATTCTCACTTGGGGGGTGGAATAATGGGCTGCAGCCACCAACTGGCTGGAGACTGCGTTTATGGTTAATTCACAGGCTGTCTGCGTCATGGGGCCTCACACAATCAAATAATGGAACATAAATGTTAACATGGTCAAATGTGTGTGTGTGTGTGTGTGTGTGTGTGTGTGTGTGTGTGTGTGTGTGTGTGTGTGTGTGTGTGTCAATCTGAATATTTACACCGTGTTCATGGAGTCTTGCAGCTTCTTCAGTCTTGAAATGTATTTTTCTCTTGTCAGAACAAGAACTCTCTTGATTTGGAATCAGAATCAAGCACAAAGCTCATGGGTCGAGTTTTCATTCTTTGGGGATTTTCGCATGTGCCGGTGTGCAGCCGACTAACTACCCGTTCTAGGTAAGCGATTCTTCTCACTCCCTTTAAAATCATTACGGAGGAGATGCAGTTTTTGATGTTACAAAAGCACAAATTGACTCACCTAGAGTCCATGCAGAAGATCGAAGCATGCAAAGTACGTTTATAAGTAATTGAAAGCAGACCTCCATGGTGCCAAAGCCACGGAGAGTGATTTTATAAATATAATAACGATGATAATAATAATACATTTGATGAATTGATTACTTTTACATCCACCTCACATCAGCGCAGAGCTCAGAATCTGTATACCTGCACCATGATCAAATTCACCAAAATCACGTGACACCAACGGCGCCACAACTTAGACCTACTTTGAGCTGGTCTAACATTTTGTCTACTTTTCGCCACCAAAATGTTCGATGCACCGGGGTCATGTCATCGCAAATGCCCTCAGCTCGCGGTCTGCCACATTCCCAAACACGCTCCACTGGCAGTGCACTGACACAAAAATCAACATGTGCCGATTTTTACGTCCGAGCGCACGTACGCTGTCTACGAAATAGAGCCCTAGGAATATGTTATTGTAAATCAGTGACACTTTACATCTGATTACCTGATCTAAATGGAACCTGGTGAGAGAATTTCTGACTCAAATCTTAATTATTTCACTTGTCTGCATCATGTCTGAGTTGCAAGCCTCTAATATGACTCACGGGGGAGGTGACATGATGTCAGCAGTGATTCTTGTTAATTGTTGAATCCTAACCAATTAAAGCTATTCAGATTTTGCCTTTGGAGTTTCGTGGTTAAAACGTGGACAGCGTCTGCAGTGTAGTCATCCCTTTTTGTCTGGCCGCACACAAACATTGAATCAGCATAAAGCAGAAAAATGGATCGTGCCTCTTGATGAGGTGGCAGCTGCACACACACACCACACACTTGCCTGCCCTTAAAAGCATCTTGCCGTGTGAGCAAATGAGAGAGAGCTCCCAGATTTTCCCATCATTCCTCCCTGTAATCCCCCCAGACCTCCTTCTGAGGGCTGAATTTGCACGATCGCACTCCTCGGGGGGTCAAGCACACGCACAGACACACATGCGAACAGAAACACATGCATGCTTGCAGGCTTGACAGTTTGTTTTGTAGATGGCTCTTCTGAACGTGTACTTAATTTATTTTTTTTTAACTGAATTATCTGTCTTTTCTAAGAGTTCATGCTATGATGCTAACAAACGCACACTCTGCCAACTGAGCCACCGCCGCTGTGCTCCGTTACATTTACTTTTGTAATTTTAGGGATAAATTGTACTTCACATCAGGAGTTTTCATGCGGCATACATTTTACTCTTACTTGAATATTTTAAAGAAGAAATGCTATTTTGAATGGGTTACATTAAGCTACATTCTGTCCTCTACTTTAAATAGAATCTATTCTTGCTTGCATGACGTATTTGCTTTGTTTTTTTCGAGAGACTTGTGCCACTTGTGCTCTTTTTCCAATCCAATGTAACCACTCCAGGCATTTAACTCCATTTCATCTCACCAATCAAACGCAGCCTGGCAGTCACACACAGCGTCTCTGCGGCTCCCGCACAGAAGCAAAGTTTTCAGAGTGACGCATTTACGTGAAGCGGGGCAGAAACAATGGAGGGAACAATGGCATGCGACTCACAGTCAGAAAAAGGCAGAACAGCTGGCCACATATTCTATTTGTGTACCTAGCCGACTAAGAAATAGAAAAGGTACGTCATACGCTGTCATCTGTGTCTGCTTAAAAATGTCCATTTTGTAGCCTACAAGAGTGTGTGTGTGTGTGTGTGTGTGTGTGTGTGTGTGTGTGTGTGTGTGTGTGTGTGTGTGTGTGTGTGTGTGTGTGTGTGTGTGTGTGTGTGTGTGTGTGTGAGGTGGGTAGACTGACGTGATCAACCAGAGCCAGTGGAGTGAATAATGTCTTCCCCCGACTTGGATGCAGTGGAATTTAGATGCTGCTCTTTGTTATGCTTAAGGTTAAGTAGTCCTTTCTGAGACACACACACACACACACACACACACACACACACACACACACACACAGATGCGCGCGCACACGAGGACCCTCAACCTCTTCTGCAGGTGCGCCCACAAGGATGCATTACACTGTTGATTCATGATTAAAAAAAAAATAAAAAAAATCAATGTAATATCCAATTCCAATTTTAACCGAATCAAAGCAATTGTTTGAATATGATGCTGACATGCACTTACAGCATTTTCAGATTGTACTCATCTGAAGTGGACTCAGATGCTTTGCTCATGACATTTTCTTCAGACATGCATGTGACTCACTAACATTTACTGCAACTATTTCAACCCTGTCTGTGACTTTGTTTTTGTTCTTCTCTCAGCTGTTTCATTTTAACCTGCCGCTTATCCTTTTGCTCCTTTGCCTATGTTTTCCTATTCTTTTGTGCAAAGTTGACTTTCTGAAAGGATCGCCAAAAAATGGAATATGTATGAATACTATCATGTACCATGATGTCGCTTCTTGAAGCCCGTTGCAGTGAAGAAGGATGTGCATGTTGTTTGGTCTCATGTGGCTATCTTAAGGCATTTTGTGTAGATCACTAATGGTTTTAGAAACAGATGGAAGTTGTATCAAGCGAAGGAATTGGTTATTTACTCCTAGGGGCATTTGCTATTTGAGCCTCGTTTCAAATGTTGCTATTGACCTGATGGCACATTGTTCCTCCCATCACAGCACATTTGATCTCGTAAAACTTGAATGAAGATTCCAAAAGGGGAGAAACAGATAATGATCAAAAGCATATTTAATAACAAAAACGTATGACCCAAAAAGTACAACAAAGGACGGTTGTAACAAAGAACCATGAAAAGGCAAGAACAAACCAAAAGCGGGTGCAAATGGCAAGGAACGAGAACAACGTAACTTACTTGTCAACTTAAAGGACAAGAAAATCCAATACATGAAGAACAGAAACCGAGGATACAGTACATCACAAAATACTATGAACTAACAAAAAGCCATGAGGCAAAAATGTTTATGCTGCCTTTACAGCAGCTCCTATATTTTGTTCTTCTACTTCTTCCTTTCATAACTTTGCTGCTGTGAATTGGGAATTTCTCCGTTGTGAGACTAATAAGATAAGGTTATCTTATCTTATGTCAACATCTAGAAAATGAACCACCTGGAGACAGTCGTGAGCAAGCCTAATAATCAGACAGCCAGTTGTTAACGTGGCATAGCTTATAAAAGCAGAAGTTACCTAGGGCAGATTCATGTCAGGTGCGGCTCATGTGGGAAACGTTGACACTCCCGTCTGAGACTGAAACACAAAGCAAAAAGGCACAGGATCAAGACACAAACTCGTCTCAACTAGTCCGTGACACAAAAAAAGTTGGGGACCACTGATGTACGGTACCTCTATTAATTTTAAGTCAGTAATTTGCACTGCACAATCTTTTAAGAATAGGACATGTGAATGGATTCAAGTATTTATTTCAAGGGAACCAGTGACAAGAGTCTCGTTGTTGCAAAGATGGAGAAGGTACAATTAACATCTACCAGCCGTTAAGATTCACATAACATAATTCTTGCTTTGTGTCCGCATTACATTATGGTTTCATATCCCCACTACGAGTGAAAATTGAACCCACATAAAGAGTGGGAATAAAAAGCAAAGCAACACTGCGAGTTGGGACCATTTGTTTTGATGTGGAAACATAATTACCGTGCATCCGCATAAAACAGCAAAATGTGTACTGCTCTCACTTGACTTCCAATTGACCTTGATTCAGCTGCACAAACACATTTCGCCCCCACAGACAGCAGACTCTGTCATCAAATATTTCAGGCAAGGTGATCAAAGGCAAACTAAACACAGTTGTCAGATCGAGAAAAAACAAGTGGCACGGTCCTATTCGTGTCATCATCTCTGACATGAAAAGCATATAACGTGGATGCCAGCCAGGGGCCGTTTATTGTGCCAAGTTATTCAATCTGGGTTGCTTGACCTACACCCGTGGAACAGGAAGTGTTCACTCGGGTACCCTATTTGAACACACCCAGCAGCTGTGTACATAGTGTACACACGTACACAAACACACACACACGCACACACTCACGAGACAGGGAGGAAATAAACACACGGAGCCCGACCGTGCTGCTCACACGCACATTCTCCCCATAATGAGGAAGTGTTGTTTTCTCATTTGATGTGACTCACGCAAACGGAGCCTTTTTAAATGGTGTCGCAAAACCTCAAGCATAACACGCGTACATGCGCATGCAAATACTCACACGCCAATTAGTCATTTTCTTTCTTCTTTGACACCCACTCCCGCGATTCTTTTTGTCACACTTGCACGCATACAGTAAACGTGTCAACTCAAATGAGCAAATGTGGCCAACAGCCATCGACAAAAAAAAAAAAGAGGTTAGCTTGGTTTTGACTTGCTTTTTTGAAGTCGAGGGCTACATTCTGACATTTGTCTCTACAAAGATAATGATACTCGGTTTTGATTGGGGCTGTCAAATATTAGCCAATAAAGTCAACGACGATTGTTCCAAAGCCTTTTAACAAGGCCTGTCACTTATCATTTTCAAATTTATAAGAAGCTATAAAAGTTAGGCCACCATCCTATTGTTGTGTTTGCTTTGGTGTCATCCTGTTAAATCATCCTGTTTATAAAAGTCAAAAATCATCTGTTGCATTTAAATGTATCTACCCGGCAGATCGAGATGAGATGATATTATTTCGTGCAACCACTGGATGAAATAAAATGGAATCAATTCTACACACCATTTTTTTTTTTCAGTGTACGCTCCCACAAAGCCAAGAGGCACAATGGGTAGCCGTGTGAAAGCATCTCTTTGCTGAACGCAATGAAAACATGTTGGTGAATGATCTTCACACGTTACAGACTGCTGGCCTGCCATTCGCATGTGCGGACGCACCGGCAACTGCAGTTAAGCTTTTATTGTCATCTACTTGACTGCAGACGTGGAAAAAGGACAGAGACCGGAATGCGCAGCGTCTGCAGGAGGAGAGAGAGCAGCTTGACAAGGAGGCAGAGCTACAGCCGACGATACACAACAACCAGCTGTTACTCTGACAGGACCAGCAGGACAGCACAACGCAAGATTGAAATCAATCAAATCAGTCTCATCATCGAATTTAAATGGAAGAATTAGAATTTAACTCATTCACTCCCAAAGACGTTTTTAAACGTCTTTTCAGACTTGGTCGAGAATTGGCTGGTACTGAATTAATAGTGTTGTGTCTTGTTGTGACTGTACGTTGTCAGTTGCAATGCCGTTGCCATGCGGCCTGATGTTATCACCTTTTTTGTGTCATATAAAACTGGGCGTGGCCTGATGTCTCCCGGTATTTAAACTCGAGTGGGCTCAGCGAGGCGTGGCGAGAACGTCAAGCTATCTTGCATGCCGACCGCATCCAGCGCTGCTCTCGATTGTTTCTTTGCATTTTTGTGTAATGCATCCAGCCCTGATTTCTGCTGTTACTTTGTATTTTTTGTATGTCAAGATTTTAACTGAGCCACTTCCATCTGCTCTCTGCATCTGCCCCTCACATGACGAACGGCGTCCATTTCCCCAATCTAATCTTGAATTCAAAATTAATTTTGAGAAAGACAGCACTTGTTTAATTTTAGAACATCTTTTGGCATTCAGTGACTTTAGAGCAGAGAGTTCCCATGTTGACGATCCGTTCAGTGCTTGGCTGATCAGTAATGCCCTGGTGTGATGCGTTTGTACAATATAAATGCTCCACTGCGTCAATAGAATGCCCCACAATGAAGGCACGCAGTCATTGTGTTTGTACCAAGGGAATAAGGTGGAAGAAGGATGCAGGAAAAGACAGAAGGTTGAGACACACAATGAAACCTTGGATAGTGGAACGAAAACTAAGAACAATGAAGCAAAACATCCTAAAAAATTTGCAAGGAAATATGTGGTTTGTTGTCCTCTTCTGGCAGTCAATTGAAGTACATGGGGGAAATACTTCTCGTGAAATATTTGTTGTTACACTGAATAGTCTCAACAGAGAAGGATGCCATTCATCAGACAGTCTCAAACCAAACGCAGAATATTGACTTGTCATTCTCGCTAGTGGGCAATTTGACTGTTTTGCCAGCAAAACACAACCGCTGGCGCTACAGCTGCGGCGCGCTCCTACAGACTTGCAGCAGATGGCAAGAGAGAAACCCTGAACTCCTTGACAAAGTGTGTTAAAAACTCCGTTAAAACAGAAGCGTGGAAGTGGATGCGAGTCGACGAACGTCAATTCTCAGCGAAGTCCCTCCCTCATTGCTGTCTCAACTCAGTCTGGCCACCCTGAAAACTCAGTCTGTCTGCGGAGACCATCCCTGACCTTTAACCTCATACTGACATCACTGAAGTCACATGACACACGAGACGACACAAACGACACAAACATCAGTACTTATTATATGTCCGCCTTGCGTGTTTTGTGCGTGGAAGCTGTGAGCGTGTACGATATCAGCATCTGTCCATATGAGGTTGTGCGACCACGGTTTGGCATGTGTTTGTGCGCCGCCACCGGAATGTGTTTTACAGTGTTGAATGAAAAGCAGTCTGCGTGTGATTTCGATGTAATAGCCTTGTAATCCCGCTCTCACTAAGGTGCCCCTAATGATGGCTGTCCCTCCCTTGCAGCTCGACTGGCGTGCACGGGATCACACACGTAGCACAGGGCTAGCTATTCGGCGCAGGCAGGAAGGAGAATATCCCCCGCAGCCAAGTGCGAGTGTACAAAATGACGCATGTGCACCTTAAAGTGTGACACATGGCTTTTGTGGCATAAAAAGCTCCACATATGTGGAGAATTACAGGCCTGTTAAGTAAACCACGCGAAGAGAATGAGAGTCATATAGCGCATCGTGTTTCACCGCATGATCGGGATTCCCCTCGAACCAAGCAGCAGATGTTGACATGGTCAAGTTCATATGCTCTAATGACACTAACATACTGCATGTATGCATACACGAATCCGAATGATTTATGAGTAAGACACGGTGCCGTGCTGTACCATGTGTGATCTGTGATTTATCGTGATAGATGAAGGAAAATGGATTTTTGCAACCAACTGGAAATTCCAACTCAGTCAAGTTGGTTTTTTTGGGTTTTTTTTACAGCATAGAATAAAGAAATCAGCAACACTCAAGACCAATCGACAATATTGACCTCTCAGACAGTTAGGTGGTTGCCATTGTAAGGAGACCCTCTTCTCCGTATTACACACGCCTGTGTAAGAAACAATTGTTGCATTCTGGCCTGAAGAATGCATGCAGTACAGTAGGCCTTATTGGCAAGAGCATGTCACATGTTTGTAATTACCACTAAACAAGACAGTAAGCAACGTTTATGGCCGTGGCCCATATTGGTTTGAAACACATGTCGAGAAAAATATGACCTGTAGCAACATTGAGATTTCTGACAAGCTGTCACACGATGAGTTCTACTTTGTAATCACACTTGATTTAGTGACAGGAACGTGGTGACTCCCACTTTTAAGATGTAAACAAAATTGTGGGTTTTTTTTTTTTTTTTCAACTTTTACTCATGTTTTAATGTTTCTGCTCTGGCACGTGTATCCCTGTACAACTGCAATGAGAGAGCAGAGAGGATTCTATTAAAACACCATTTAATCCTTGACACTCACTGGAAATGTGTCTATATGCTTTCAACCCATTTGGTTCATTATCTCTCCGGTGCAGTTGTTGAACATTCACTGCTCACACTTTTATTTTTGATCTGTTCTCGCTTAGCACTGACTGACTGATTTGAAATTACATGACTTGTATCTCCTAGCAAAAATGTCCTCTGCACTTCACCGGGCACACTTTTCAACCAAGTGTCAAGATTTCAGAAATGATTTCTCTGTGATGAAGTAGCCAAGGGATGGCTTTTTTAAGATAAGATAAGATAAGATATCCTTTATTTGTGTGTGTGTGTGTGTGTGTGTGTGTGTGTGTGTGTGTGTGTGTGTGTGTGTGTGTGTGTGTGTGTTTAAACCGCAGGGTGAGTGTGTGACTGATCCATTATGAACACTTTTAAACACCATTTTTTCCTGTTGCATTGGCGTGCAAGTGGCCCTGTTTGGATCTCCTTCATATCTTGCTCACCACACACACACAAACACACACGCACTCACACACACGCGACAGGGAGTGGTGTGCGTGTGTATGTACAACTAAGCTCTTGTTCGTCATAGGGTGTCCCTGAACGCCTTCATCCCGCGTCGTTATGGCCATGCCGGAATTTTGCCATCCCATAAGCCCTCCCACACACCATAATTAAAGTCACCCGGGCAACGGGAGAAAGAATGCTCAGTATTCTTGTTGTTGTGGTAACTGCGTGAGTGCGAGAGCGGGGAGGTGCTGGTCGTAGGTGTTGGTTAATGATGGAGACAATGAGGCCTCAGTCTGCCACCTCATGCAGTGTGCTAATGAAAACGATAAAACAAGCACGTGTATGTGTGTGTGTGTGTGTGTGTGTGTGTGTGTGTGTGTGTGTGTGTGTGTGTGTGTGTTATTCCATAACTTTTGTGTGATTAGGGCGATCGTACCATTGTGTCAAAAGGACCCAATTATGTACATCAATGGAAGATCCAACTGATACTACCCCTACAGGATTACAACCACCCAACGCCTCGCCTCAATTGTCTGCTGGTTGTTTTAAGCGTACACAGTCACATAACTGTGATGGCAACATGCAAAAAAATTGCTTCATGTTTAATCATACTTTATCTAGATTGTGTTTTTGACAAAAAAAAAATGTGTGCCTGTACTGTATGTTTTTATGCAACTCAATGTGGAGTGGAATGGGGTGTGGGGTGAGTACTGTTTGGTCATTCAGTTGCTTGTTCTAGGCGAAACTGTAGCCAAGCCTTTTATTTTCTATAGCAGTTGTCCTCACTAATGTCACGGGTGAGATGGAGCCTTTCCCATCTGACGTTGGGCAAGTAACTGGACACACCCTGGAATGGTTGTAATCAATCACACCGCACATATAGACAATTATAGACAAGTTATGGAATCGACGCTCAACCGAGGATGCATTGGATTGAGAAAAAAATGAGTAACCGGAGAAACCCCACGTAAACGCAGAGGAAGTCGAGATTCGAACTCACGACTTTAGGGGCAGGTGACAAACCACGTTTGAACCTGTAACCAATATTGTAAATTCAATAGTTATTGAGTGCTGCAATATATGAAATGTTGGGTCGTACTTCCCTCTGCTGTTTGTCCAGAACTACTGCAACGCATCGGGCTGAACAATGTATAGAATTGTACTTTATTGAACATGCCACACGCTAAATTCATAACAATTATAAATTTTATCAGATAATTTGACTATAGATGCGCAATAGTGTTGTATTTAATGTAAGATGACAAAACTATATTAATAAAGATAAAATATCGCATTAGATGTCCCATTTTGAAATAATGAAGATTGTCTAAATGTCTATAAAACCATTTCGTGAGAGTTTATATTATGAGCGTTTGTGTGTGTGTGTGTGCGTGTGTGTATGTGTGCGCGCGCGAGAACGTGAGAGAACATATAGGCGGATGAATATGTACCAGACCTAAGAGTAAAAAGTCTCTAACTTCCCGTAACTTACGTCATTTGAGCAGTAGGGACTTCCACTTTCCTCGGGTTAAATTTGAATGTTACCTGCACAGCGAATATGTCGTTTTCTTACGGCTTCGCTGTCCGTTGTCTGAGCGCAAAACGATTGCTTAAAGTGTTACGTGTGTGTGTGTGTGTGTGTGTGTGTGTGTGTGTGTGGTGCTGCACAGATATTCATTTTGTCGTCTACACGCATTGCGGATTTAATTTGGGCGAGTTCAGAAATACAATAATACAGAAGCAGATTGGGGCCATGCCAGGGAAAAAACACGAAACTGATGTAAAAACGTGAAAATGGTCATGTAAAAACATGAAAATTATTATATAAAAACCTTAAAAGTACAAAATATGATGACGACGACCTCACGGAGGACTCCCCAATTTCTGTCGCGACCTTAGTTCCGTCCTGGAACTGGACGCACAGGCACGTGCTTCCGAATGCAAAGGCACGAAAAATTGGATTTGCTGAGCTTGTCACGAAATCGCGGTGTCCCAGAAGATTTCCTCATGCATGGAGCAAAAACATAAGTAAGTGTATTTTTACGTTGCCCGTAGTTTTTACGTGATAATATCACGTTTTTATATGACAATTTCCACGCTTTTACATGACATGTTTCGTGTTTTTTTTTCTTGGTTTGGTAGCAATATGCTTCCGCACAATAATATTTTAACAAACAAAAATCTCACACTACCCAAACACACAAGCACACACACAAACTATCTCCCTTTTCACCGAAAACCCTCTTGATTTTTTTCTGTGAGAGGTAAAATTTTGTTTTTGGTCAAAACAGCCATTCATCTATCCATTATCTGATCTACTTAACCTCCTAAGGGTCGCGGGGCATGCTGGAGCCTCTCCCAGCTGTCTTCGGGCAGTAGGCGGGTTACACCCTGACACCCTCCATCCAATCGCAGGGCACACATAAGCAAACAACAATTTACACTCACAATCACACCTGAGGACATTTTAGAGTGTTGAATTAACCTACCGTGCATGTTCTTGGAATATGGGAGGAAAGCGGTTATAAATTGGCTTCATGTCGAATCATACTTGATGTTTTTCCAGACATTTTAAAAATTATTGAGATATGCTGTCATAGCAGAGGGCTTTGTGCATGCACTCTCATTTAAAGCATGAATAGTTTTCTTTGGGTTGCAAAATAACATGTACCTCTCTCTCTCTCTCTCTCTCTCTCTCTCTCTCTCTCTCTCTCTCTCTCTCACACACACACACACGCACACACACACACACACACACACACACACACACACACACACACACATACGCTAATACGAATCAAATACATTTATTTTATTAAACAAAAGCCCTGTTTCGTTTTGGGTGTGTGGTAGCTCTTTGGTGAGCGTAAATGTTATTGGTTGCTTTGCCGTACAATAACTTGTACTTATAATTTAAAATACGAGCGTTGCGAAACTACTTTTCGTCTCGGATGTACACTAACGTCTGCGCCCCAACAGCTTTGTGACGTCAGCATCTCAGTCCGGCATCCTGTTCCGTTTCGTAGCTGACTGATAGCCTCCGCCGTCGTCGTTATTTCCCGAAAGAAGATGGCCGCAGGTCCCCTTTCGGTTTCTTCAACCGCATCGACTACCAACGATGGCATCCTCATTGGTGACAAAGTTTACTCCGAAGTTTACCTTACGATCGACAACTCTCTTATCCCCGAGGACAGGCTCTCTCCGACGCCGTCAATGCTCGACGGCCTCGACCTCCACACCGAGACCGACCTTCGCATCCTGGGATGTGAGCTGATTCAGTCGGCGGGCATCCTTCTCCGTTTGCCTCAGGTTAATAGCCTCAAGTCGCTTGAAAGCCATATCGCGTTTCTGAGATCCATGGTAGTTGGCAAACAAATGGGCGACGGCCTGTTAGCTGCTAGTTTGCTATGTCGCTGGCGTGGTGGAGTCAAAATGGCGTCGGCCCATTGTGCTCTTTCCACGGAAAACTTTAAAAATAAACGTATTCTATGTTTTCAACAGGTGGCGATGGCAACGGGGCAGGTGCTTTTTCATCGTTTCTTTTATTCCAAGTCCTTCGTCAAGCATAGTTTTGAGGTAAGTTTCCAGACTGTTGGTGCGGTCTCATGCTAGCGTGTCGTTGGTGGAACGTTGGCGGGCGCCATGTTGGACACTTTCAAACGCTGCTTAATCCTCCCTTATCTGTTCCAATAATTCCCACAATCTCCTTAAGAAATGACCACTATCAATTAATAGCTTTTAAAATCCACGGCAACGTTGTGCCGTTTTTGTCTTTGATTATATTTGTGGTGTTTTTGTCTCGATTTCTACGACCCCTTTCTTGCAACCGTGTGCTTCATTTTGTATTTAGATTGTTGCAATGGCATGTATTAACTTGGCCTCCAAGATTGAAGAAGCACCCAGGCGAATAAGAGATGTCATCAACGTTTTTCATCACCTCAAGCAGATTAGAGTGAAAAAGTAAGTATCTGCGCTTTTTAACACTTCCCTCTTGTTGAAAATCTCTCTCTCCTGGTTGGAACATGTTTCAGTCTAGGGCTGGACGATTATGGCGAAAATGATTATTGTGAATGAGACCGAAATCACTCTTACTGAAATTATTATTCATTGATTTCAAATATAGTGTTTATTAAACTTCTAAAACTCAACTACTCCAAACTATTATCATAGCCACTGGTCCATTCACTGAAGACTCTTCTTTTTGTCAAGTATAAAATGACTTGGTCAACATCATGTGAAATTCAAACCTCTTGCATTTTCATTCTGCTTCCTTCACGCCGTTGGTACCTTGGATCAATGCATATAAAAAAGCTTGGAATAAGCACTACCCATATCTCTTAACCATATTTGTTTAGCAGTAATTATTTTGCCATGACTGGGAATTCTAATGCTAGCATTATTTTTGCTGGTTGCACAGTAAGTTAGCAGTGAATTTGGTTATTTTAGTGTGATATATAGGCTGCCATGTTATGGTTCAACTGGCTTCCACAATGGTTGAACTTGTTTGTTTTCTCTCTTATTAGCACCCCCCCCCTCCCACACACACACACACATTTTCTTACTGCAACCATCACCTTTTATTAGTGTGGAGCCCGAATCATTTTGCTAATTATTTTTGTGTTTCACAAGTTTTATAGAACATTTTCAACAACGTTAGTACCAGCGTTGTTTTTAAAATGAAGCATGTTTTGTCTTTACATATACAATGTGCGTAGGGTAATTCTTTTTGATACATGTGTAATTTTACAGTAAACTCCCAACTGGGGTGTCGTTAAACAGCTTAAAGCACGCTCAGGGACGGCAGAATCTCATACGTTACGCGCTTGCTATGGTAGCAGTATGGTGCATTCAGGGTACTTTGACATAAGAAACTTGTAATGTCATTCTGCACCTTCATGTTTTGTTTTTACTAGAAAGTTAAAAAAAAATGAGAAGCCAATATCAAAATCGGATTTAAATTTTGATTATCGTCCAGCCCTATTTCAGTTACTTTTCACGAGGAATTGTGATTTTTTTTATTTTTATTTAATATTTTTTGTGTGTAAGTCAACAAAAGTGCCCTTCTGTTTAACCTTGTATTTTAAAACAATGTTTAAACCCATCACTTTTCCCCTCACAAGTGTACATTTGCAGATGTAACACTTATGTTTTGATTGCCACTTAAATTTGTGTCTCACAAACACTGAAGAGCCTCATAGGCCATAGCACCACTGCTTTGGCAGTGTGAGCATTTAGTTGTGATTAGAAGTGTGTTCATGGCAGCACTATAAGACCTCGGCATTAACTTGGCTTCTTTTTTCCCTTGCAACCAACTAACAGCGACCAGCTACATTTACCAAAGCCTGGGTGATGTGGAATGGTACGTAAGATGAAGCAGTCGGCATGACAACCATGATCCAAGGGGGCCTATCTCCTCGCCCAGGCCCCTTCCTGTGGGAGACGCCCGTGGTCTGCGCCACCTCGGGGCACTGGGATCGGGGATGACAGGTTGGCCGGAGGTCCTTGGCCCCCTGGGCACCTTGAAGACTCCTGTGGTTCAGTCTTAAGCTTTGAGTATCTGTCCGTCAATCTGCAGACTGCTGGGTAACGTAGTTCTCTCTTGACTACTGCTTACCATGCATTTTGATTGTGTGATTAGTGCAAAAGCCCATTCACTCGCTGTCGCCTGCGACTATTTTCGAAATGTCACCATGTTCGTTGCCAAAAATGAGCCAAGTTTTTGTGGCTTAGGTACGAATGTAACTTTGATTACATACCTACGTATGTAGCGTTAGCATTGTTGTTTGTGGTCAAATTTTTTCTTAATGTAGAATTGTACCGTTGACCTAAGCATGGGAGTTCTTGAAATGACGTTCAGTCTAGCATCTATACGATTCGTTATTATGCTTCACTTGAAGTTGGAATCCCACAGTCTGAAGTGGTACGGGCACTTAAACACGTTTCGTTTTGGGACTCAATAGTTTGCTTTTGAATTAACCCTTCTCTAACATTCCAATGGCATTGCTAAAATCATTTTCTAATGTGTCTCACCCCACGTCTGTTTATTTTTGTTCGTTTGGTGAACCTGCGAATTTAATGTTAGCGTTTCGCGACCGAAGCATCTTGACGTGTCTCAAGAGTCAGTCATAGACTTCGAAAACTAGGAGAATCCAGTCACTTTTTTAAAAGAAAATCTTTTTCAACCTTGGAAAATACATTAACCCGAAGTACTTTTCAAGTTTTTGTTTTCTCACATATGCCGCCTGCCGCTGCTCGGTCCAAAGTGGCCCATGGCCAGGGTGGTTGGGCACCACTGTTATGTGTCCTACCTAAATATTTTCTTGTTATCCCTTTGCCCATTTGAAGCGAGAGTCATCCAACCTAGAGACGATTTTAAGATGTTAGATGTCATAGGGAACGCGTGGTTTTAGATGTTGTGTGCAACGACCATGGATGATATTTCAATGGTATGACAGGCTGTGACTGAGTTTGACAGCGACAGATCCTCTAGACTTGCAGAACCACAGGAGTCCTCAAACCCCAGCAGACAGTGAGGCATGCAGTCAATAAATCTGCTGAGTTGGTTGGAATAGAAAAAAGAACACTAGAGTATATTGAAACAGAAGGGTTCTTTCCTTTTTGGGTGGTTTTGAGGTTCTCAAAGGAAGGGAACGATCTTTTATTTTGATTCCATTGTAAAATAGGACTCCAAGTTCATTGATTCTTGATCAGAACTACATAAACACCAAAAATCAAGTCATCAAAGCTGAGCGGCGTATACTGAAGGAGCTGGGCTTCTGTGTGCATGTCAAGCATCCGCACAAGGTGAGGTTACACCCTACACAGGAGTTGTCAACTTGTCTAGTTTTGCAGTCATCTCTCCATCTATAACAAATTGCGCAACTTTTTTTTCTTGTCCAGATAATTGTCATGTACTTGCAAGTCCTGGAGTGTGAAAAGAACCAAACGCTGGTCCAGACTGCCTGGTAAGTTTCGTCTTTTGTTTTCCACCTCACCTTCAGCTACTTCCTCTCTTGTGTCAGAGACAAGTTTCAGCAGACAGACACAGACCTGGGCTAAAGATGAACCTTTGAAATGCTTAAAAGGCCACCCGATTATGTCCAGGGACATCATTAAAGCTCGTTTGGGTGAAAAGCTGTATCTTCCAGCAGTGCTAATTAAGCATCCTCGTAAAACTGTTTGCCCGGGTCTACTCCCATTTGATCCAGTTCACGTATTGCTGTGCTTTGTATTATTGCACCCATGCGACGTCTCTCACACGCGTGCCCTTATGTGACCTTGCTGTAAATTGATAATGGTGTCAGGGAGCGTGATTTAACTTTGTCCTTTCTCTCTACTCTTTGATTAAAGGGTAGTCCGTGCTGGTAAGTCACATAAAGAACCTCTGAACTCTGCCTCCTCCAACCACATGACCTCAGGAAGCCTCCCCCCTTTGGCTGGCAGCCAGTCCCAATGCTGAGACTCGTTGCTGGGGGTGCTCGGGCCTTTCCCAACAGCCTACATCGTCTTATTTTCTCTTGGCTCTTCACAAGGATTTGTATTTTTTTTTTTTTTTTTTGTGCCAAGGCTTTCAGGATCACATTGTTCAAATTTTTTTTCACCACTTTCTAGTCTACTTTTAAGCATTGACCACAATTACTTTTTTGGAGCAGGTAAAAATTGAACAGTATTAGTGTGTCATGTCCCCAACTGACGTGTTGTCCAGACATGTCTGTTTTGCAGGCGGATCCAGTTCTCAGGTTTTGCCTCCCAGGACCCTTCTTGCTCGACATCAGACACAATTCAAGTTGGCATGTTGTCTTGCTGGCATAGTTTTTTCATGCTGAGCCATTAAAGTATCTTGTGGCTCATTCAATGATCCGTAACCCCTGAGCCTGCGAAATAACGGCGTTAATTAAATGAGTAAACCACACGTTGAATGTACACTGGAGAAGCATTGCAAAGAATTTTTTTTCTTTGTATTTTTGCCTGGCCAAGCATTCAAATGTTGTGGGGGTTGGTTTGCAGGTTCTTTTGAGTTGCTTTTTACCATGTGGATCCTTTTAGACTCCCTCCTTTTTGTTTTCAACTTTTTTTCTGCTTGCCTCCCAAAGACATTGATTACTCATGTTGCCCAATATACATCCCATTTTTGAATGTCACCGCATTTAGTTTATCCTTTGAAAAATTAAATGTGCAGGCTTTTTTTGCACAGCAATTTCACTCAACCAAGGCAGCACTCCTTAGACCATAGTCTGGTGGATAATACGTGTCTTGTTGGATAATACGTTACGGTGACAGTTTGGCCTCGTAAGCTTGCACACTGCTGGCTTCCCCAAAACGGGCTGGCTTCTGTGCATGTCAACCTTAAATGCTTTTTTGCTTCCATGTCCCTTCAGATCTAAAAATCTGAATGTGGCAACTGTGGTGTAGGTACTTTTTTTTTTTTAAACATTTCAATGTGTGCATGTTCCCCATGGCATGTCATCATCACCTCGACTGCTCATGGCAGGGTGTAGTGTCGGGCTGGCAGGCCTTCAGACGGAAGTTGTGACAAACAATACTCCCAAGGATACCCAGAGAGAAATGGACAAAGTTAAATATGACGGATACTACAAAAGCCTCACTTGCATCCCATCTAGTGGGGAATTGTTCGCTTTAATTCAGCTCCTGCTATACAATGGTACCTCAAATTTGACTTTCCTGAACATTTCCCATAAAGATATGTAATGTATAGAAACATTTATTCCAGAGTGAACACCATTCAACCTTTAAATGTACTAGCAACATTTTGTACAATTTTAATAGTTTGTAACGCAAGTAAGAGGTCGAAGCATCTGATAGGGACATTTTGGAGAAAAATACAATAGTGTCACTGGCAACTGGCATGAAAATCTCAATATTTTCGTCATCTTTATCCACAGTTGATGCTTGTCACAGTAGCCAAATCAAATGCCGCTGTTCACAAAAACAAACAAACGGAAGCTTCAGCAAGCAAATGTACGAAGTAAAAACCACAAAACAAGCAACCATGCCTAACAACTTGACATAAAATATTTCTGATCAGTTGTCCATGACTGCTGATGTTGAATATCACGACACCTACCTACTCCTTGAAGCTGGATTGAATTACTTTCAGTGAGTCTGCTGTAAGTGTTCTGATATTGACCTCGCGGTAAAGACTCAAAAACGGCTTGCGCACACACAATCCCAGTTCCTTGTCACGAATCAGGAATTAGTCCCCGCTGATGTGAAATGCCTGCCCCAAATTTCCAATATTAAAAGCATATTTTACGCAGGCACCTGAACTAGCTTTATAGTGCTGCTCCTTTGAGGTACCACTGTAGTCCGCAGCAGTTTGGTTAATGCTGAGTCAATGTCCATCTTTGAAGCCGTTAGGACGGAAGTGGCTTTGTTTAGAGAAGATGCTATGTTTTTGTTTGCTCTTCTTTGTCTTTCAAGGAATTACATGAATGACAGCTTGAGGACAAACGTGTTTGTACGGTTCCAAGCAGAGACCATTGCCTGTGCCTGCATATTCCTTGCTGCCCGAGCTCTACAGGTGAGAGAATTAGAAGGCACATTGTGCTTAAAAATGTACGTAGCCCATCCCTGGTCCCAGGTTACGAGGGAAAAAAAATCTTATTTGCTCATCCTTACCCAGTTTACCAATCTGACCTAATTTTAATCAAATGTACCCCAAGTTTAGCATGTCTATCAGAACAGTGTACACGAAGAAAAGCGTAATGCTGCCCATAAGTAGCACATAATACGTTAACATATTTGTCCTGGCAGTTATAGCATGTGTGATTGCTGAACAGAGTACCTGTACTGCATTTTGCCCAACTCTGGCGAGTGCCAAAGTGTTTTGAGGGTTTTGTGCGCAACATGCCGGCAGGTGGTTCCTTATGCAAGCGCTCACCGCCAATTGTCGGTTTCACAGAGAGCTATAAAACGCTACCAATTCAGCATGACCTCACGCTGCCTTTTCATCTTTGTGTGGACCGTGTTGGTTGTTTTCTTATCGATGTGAGGTTACAGATCAGCAAATACTTTTTTAAAACCTCACGCCCTGACAACCGGGTGGGCTCTAGAATTTTGAAGTAGCTCCGGTTTTCTCTCCCAGATCCCCCTGCCCTCCAGACCTCAGTGGTACATGCTGTTCGGAGCAAGCGATGACGACATTAAAGACGTCTGCGTCACCACCCTTAAACTCTACACAAGGAAGAAGGTATAACATTAAACACATACATTTACTGCATTGAACCACCATTAGCAGTGTTGAAGAAATGTGAGTCAGTGGTCCAAAATGTGCATATTTGATGTGCAATCTGTTGACTGACAGCACAACTTGTTCCGCAGCCCAACTATGAGCAGCTGGAGAAGGAAGTGGACCGGAGGAAGGTGTCCTTGGCCGAAGCTAAGCTAAAGGCCAAGGGCCTGAATCCAGACGGCACGCCAGCACTAACCACTCTGGGGGGCTTCTCACCTGCTTCAAAACCCTGTTCCCCAAATGTGGTCAAAGTGGAAGAGAAGTCCCCCAACAGCCAAACGGTCAAAACTGTTAAGAAGGAGCCAGAGAGCCGCACGCAGATGACAAAAAGTCCCCACAACGGGTGAGAAATGCTGCCGTGACACATTATTGCTGTAACTTTAATTTGGGGGTGAACAGTGTAGGTTGGGGTTAGCAGAGTTGAGTGTTTGAGAGGGCTGCACAATATATCAGAGAAAGAAATATTGTCATTGCGATAATGGCCCGAGCAGTATGCATATCGCAAAGACGTCCAATAATTTAAATCTGGAATTGTATGCTTTTCTGTCTTTGACCAATCATATGCATAAGTTGAATGCTCATCGCCATTCAAGAGGTGAACAGTATCTAGGGGCATTCCGAACATTTTTTTAATTCAAAAACTATCTCTCTATTCACGGGGTACTGGTACCTTGTGGCATCTAGGTGAAGAACGCTTGGTTGCCCATCACTGTATGTTGCTTGCATAGATCGACAATGACACATTTTAGTGAATTGATTGTGAATTTCTTAACGCTTTCTTTTTTCCCCTCTTTGGGTCAGAATGAGGAAGGAGGCAAAGATCGGGAGGAATAGCCGGAGCGGCAGCCGTTCACGATCCAGAACGCGTTCCCGTTCCAGAACGCGTTCCCCTCGCAGGCAGTAAGTCAAATACGATGGTCACGTGCCACGGCCGCTATGTTGCTCACCTCCCTTTTCTTGCCATTCCTCTTCCAGTTACAACAGCCGGCGCAGTCGCTCTGGGACATACAGTTCTCGCTCACGCTCGCGATCCCACAGCCGGAGTCCCTCGCCTCGGAGACAACCGCCCTCGCCTCTCCTCCCTCACCTCAAATCCAAGGCAGCCCACCACAGCAACAGCGATTCCAAGACCGGCGGACGTCACAACAACAACAACGGTGGCGGTGGCCACCACAAGAGAAAACGCTCACGTTCTCGTTCCCGCTCTCGCACGCCACTCAAAACCGAAAGGGAGCGGGACCGAGAGAGGGACAGGGACAGGGATCGCGGCGCCTTTGACACGTCCTCGAAGAAGCACAAACACGAGCGCAGCGCCGGACATCGAGGAGACAGGCGAGACGGGGAGAGGTCACGGTCATATGACAGGGACAGAGAGCGCGAGCGTGCTCACAAGGGCAAACATCACAGCAGTAGTAGCGGACATTCGGGACACGGAAGACACAGACGCTGACACTCGCTTCGGCAACGATGCTTTTCCAAAATGTAAATAATTTCAGGAGTGCACAAGACAGCGTTGACGTTTGGGATTCCTGCTTTGTTTTCCGGGTTTCCCAAACGCATCTTTCATTTGACTCAAAAGACGTCTTTAACAGGAATGCTCATTTTCATACCTTTGTGGTAGCAGACCGAAATTTGTTTTGTTGCCAGAAGCCGCCATCCGGTGTGTCAAGTCCTCTGTTCATGTCACACACCTGCTAACATTTAGCTTCGATGTGGACTGTGCGAGGACCCACCAACTGTGGCTTGGCGAAATGTCGCTTCACGTTGCATCACGTTGCCCTGCCTGCCCGAGCTGATCGATTCAAGTAGCAAAGCATCTATTTACAGTGTAAAGTTGGATTGATGTCCACTGGTATAAATGTCAATGCTTTAATTTTTTAAAGCGATCTGCACAGTGGATAGCTTGGATGAAAATGTCAAAAGCATTCAGTAAAGCGCAGAATTTTACAGGCGGGTCTTTGGTCTGTTTTTTTTTTTTTTAAGACCAGTTATTCTTTACATATTGTGATGCAGACTTAAATTTAAAGAACAAATTGGGGCTGTCAACTGGTTACACTGGTTTTAGTATACAAATATTCATGTCTAATTTTTATTCAATAAATAAGTTGAAGCACTAAATTGGTTATTTTTTTTCCTCCACCAGCTACCACTATGAATAGACACTGCATGTACCACCAATTTTAAGAGGATACCCCTTGAATGATTTGAGTAGCAATGCGGATATTAGCGTGCCTCGCAAAAACGCAGTAAGTGAAATGCACGCCAGGGGGTGCAATCGCTTCTCGTGTTTGGGGGTGAATTTCCGGCATCACTTAGTTGCTCAGATCACAAAAATACGCGACATTGTCGATTTGTCTCGCGTTTAACGAATGGTGCTGGATTACAACCAACTCCATTAAAATGAGCCCACAATAGGCTGGACCTGGTGATGGAGAAAAGAAAAAAAATGGTGTCAAGATGTATCTGACTGGCTATGGTCTCATTTCAGTAGCATTATAAATTGGTGCATGCTTATTTGACATACTGGCATTTCCTCTTATCCTGTAAAGATAATCTTATCCTATGCAGTTGCCGCCTCGGTCTCGTGTGGTAAATGTGCTTCTTGAAGTGGTTGGATTTGCCTTGATAGGAGACGGAGGACGGCATGTTCACAATTTGAGATGTGTTGTGCTCCATTTTGCATTTTCAAATGGTTCGGGTTTTTGATTTGAGGACCGTGACCACACCGTTGGACGTTGAGCACATTATCTGTGCGGTAAACAAAACAAAAAACAAACAAAAAAAACCCCACGTTTTTGTTGCAGATATTAATTTTGCTTTCAAAGGTTTATTGATGAACTGCTGAGAAAAGGCAACATTCAGACATGCATCGGATCAATCCGTAATAGTTCAGTCACATTAAAATGAAGAGCAGGAAGACAATTTCTGGTCTTTCAGCATTACATGATTGAGTCATACAAAATAAATAGCACATTTTCTGACGTATCAAAATGCCATTTTGTACTTGTACTGTTAAAATTATTAAATGGCATCCCATTTAATAATTTTAACAGTAAAATGGCTCTCCAAAAATGGTGCCTTGGAAATTTGCCTCAGAGTTCTGAAATTTGAGGTTTCAGATCTTAGCTCTGACCTTCCTGTGTGGCGTTTTTGTGCTTGTTTGGGTTTCATTTATTGAACGTTAAATTGACCATAGGGACGAAGGTGATTGAATGGTTGTTTATGTGTGCCCTGTGACTCACTGGCAAACAGTCCAGGATGCACTGCTCCTTTCGCCCAAAGATTGAAGTCACCTGGAATAGGCCCCAGCAACCTCTCCTGGAATAAGCAGTGTTGAAAAAAAAGGCATCGCTGCCCATCTTTAAAGCTCAGTTTTATTCTTTGGCTTTTGACTCGGCATGAGACTTATTTTAGTTTCCATGTTTTTGTGCATTCCACTGTCTTTGTTATTAATTTATTTTTTGTTTGTTGTATGGATTATCTTTGCTCCATGTACAGCACTTAGTATACGGCGGTGGTTGTTTTAAAAGGCTCTATAAAAACAATTGAGTTGAGTTATCTCTACACCACCCCTACCCACATACGGCGGTGGTTGTTTTAAAAGGCTCTATAAAAACAATTGAGTTGAGTTATCTCTACACCACCCCTACCCACTCACATCTAGATTTTGGTCTGTTTTACTGCCATGAACCCCCCACCGCCTGCACTTTTTAGAAAATGGATCAATCAGTCTATTTACTTGAGAATAAAGTTCCGTAACTGCTTGAATGAGTTTGGTGTGAAAGAACAGATGTGATCGTTTGAGATGAACGAGAACAGAGCTTGTCCAACATCAGGGACGTCTGACATTACAAAATGTTTTTCTGCCTGAATGAACCAAAGACCCCGGTACATACATTTTTCCATTTTCATCCATAGTGTAAATCCCAATACTCCACACAAACTTCAGTGAACTTAGATCGCATCTAAACGGTGTGACTTTTCCAACAAAATGATGACACTGACTGAAAACTGGCTTGTATTGTGGGGGGGTGATAGGAAACGGGCAACGTGGGTAATTTGAGCCAATGTTATGTCTGCAGCTAGCAGGGTTGCAGCTGTTGCACAAAGATTTCAAGTGAAGATATTTACATGCAGTTGAAAATCTCCAAGGTGGAATGCCCACACAGAAAGGCTGGAGGCAAGACTTGAACCCAGAACCTCCGCAATGTGAGACAGACTTGCAGCGAGTTGCCTTACCTAAAATGTACAACAGAGTCTATACAGTTGTTCAATGTTTTATGATGGTGACATGCGTTATGTTAATAAAAAAAAACAAAACAAAAAACTTTTGAGTTAACCAGCATCAAACTAGTAGAATCTAACTTGAAAAATTGATAAAAACCATATATTCGATGACAAATGTGCTCTCCTTATCTCAAGGCAACAGTCGCGCTTTTCCTTATGCATTGCTTTGCAGCCCACCAGATACGTCTAATCTGGGCTCGAAGAAAGTTACGCACGGAAAATAACCAAACACAACAATTTATTCTTGGTGCGTCCTGTCCTTGAAAGACCGAAGCCCAGACTCGGACCCAACCTCAGAACTGTGTTTCTTTCAAAGATGCATTGAAGAAACTGCAGAACTGATTGCGTGGGCCGATGAATACGCGACGGTTAGCTCCTCGTGTGTCTGTCCGGCTCTCGCTTTCGCTCGGGCGGTAACTGAGGAGCGACTTGAAAGTCCAAGATGGAGCGAGGTCGGATGAGGGCCGCTGCCAATCAATTCCTCTTTGGGGAGAAGTATCACGACTCTCTCAAACGGCAACTACAATGATGCCCCCGTGTTCTCCCGCGCACAAGATTCGACTTTGATGAAGCGTGAGCGACTGCCGATGAATGATGGCGAGGCTCAGAAGCCGGAGACGGTCAGTGAGGTCGCCCGTCTCTCAGAGGAGGAGGCTGCGTGAGCATCAAGTCTGCTGTAATGGGATGAGATGAGTGCACTGGCACACATTGTTCCACGGCCAAGCTCAGAGCGCAGTGACCAGATTCAAAAACATTCCCTCTTCCAGTGATTTTTTTTTTTAAATTGCAGTACTGCAAAAACATTAAACTAGTCGACGTCAGCGCATCTTTTCATCACATAAGTGTCAACCCAGCACCACTGCGTGAGTATAATCTTACAATCCTTATTTACAAATGCTAATCAAACCTGAAACTCCATTTCAGGTTATTTCAATGGAATGACAGCTTCCACTTGCAATTGATAACCTTTCTACTATAAAAGCAGACTAGAAACATGGAAATCCTCTAATTACCTGCGAGGGAATGATTGCCTTTTACGGCATAAAAATACTTTTTGAGGGCGGGCGGGGGCTCGCAGAGCACACACACACACACACACACACACACACACACACACACACACACACACACACACACAAAATCATTTTGGTATTCACGATCACAGGATACAATGACGCTAGCATAGCTGCTTGTTTGGTCTGCTTCTATCCAATCAGGGCCGTCATTTCATTCGAAATGGAGACACGGTTTAAGTTGCTCGCCACAGTTGTCCGTCCGTGGCAAAAGAATATTATTCGACAGCCAGTCCTCCATTGCTGGTATGATATGAAGATCATTTCTCGGAAATTACACTGCATACCGACCGAGAGTCAAAAGAACTCTTCATTTGGAGATCAACCAAACGTATCTGGATGAAAAGGTCTACCGTATTTTCCACACTAAAAGGCGCACTGGATTATGAGGCGCACCTTCAATGAATGACCTATTTTGTAATTTTTTTTTTCATATATTGGATATTGTTGGACATTGGACATGGCATTATAAGACGCAATCTACAATGCATCCACTAGATGGAGCTACGCTCAAGCAAATACCAACAGAACGATTAGCTGTCAGTAAAACGTACTTAATAAAGCAGCGACACAGTTCACTTAACCAACAGCAAGTTATAACGTTGACTCGTTAACGTTGAACTCTCTTACCGCTGCTCTATTTCCGTGTTCAACTGCGCAATCCGATCGCCTTAAGTTTGAACTCTGCGTTGTAAGCATGTCTCTAGCAAGGATTCAACCCCAAAATGGAACCCCATTTTGGGGTTGAAATATTATCGTAATGACCATACACAGGGTGCATCGGATTTTAAGGCGCTGTGAGCTTTTAAGAAAATGGAAGGCTTTTAGGTGTGCCTTTTAGTGCGGAAAATACGGTAGTTTGAATCCCCTAAAATCACACTTCCAACCTTTTGATTAATGAGGCCCAATGGGTGTTTTTTTTTTGTTTTGTTTCCGCTGAAGATGAAGGCGGCGCGGTAAGATCACAGGTAGGTGGTGGCCTCTGTGTTCTCCCGCTCTCTGGCCTGAGCCACGGCCACGTTGATGCACTGCAGCCACTCTTCGGCGTGCTTTTCATCCTCGGCCTTCAGCACGTACGTCTTATTGTCCGTGAAGATCTCGAAGGCTCGCGGGAGGCCTCGATCTCGCCGCTTCTTGGCCACCACCTGACGGACAAATGAGTCAGCCCTAAGGGAAGTGGATTTAGGGGTCGCGCCGATGAAAGAGAAGAAAGGGGATGCCTGGTGCTGCTGAGACTTTACCTTGACGCTTTGTACTTTGGTCAGCTCAATGGGAATGTCATCCAGCTCGTCCTTCTGCAAGGGAGTGCGAGTGGAAAAAATGAACAATGGCATCGTCGTCATTTCCGCTTCACGCTGACGCATCGCTGTACTGCTTCCCGTACGTTTCACCACGCGCCGAATGATTTTACCGACTGAATGTTGAAATTTGTTGTTGTGCAGCGCAATGTTACAAATACGCTTGCCAATGCGTCTGTAATTGGGAAACCCAAAGTTATGTGGCGATAACCACATAACTCGACATTGTCTTTGTTGACTAACGCTGTTGTCACCACACTGGAGGTCTTCTCGGTGTTTTCCAAAACGTACATTCATGTACCCATTCATTATTGACTTCATGGAACAGACACGGCAGTGAATCGTCAACAATTACTCATTGGCCACAACATTAGGTACAGCGTGATAATCAAAGGCAGTGCTTTTCAAAGCGTGCCCCAACGGGCCCCCCAGAGGCCCAAAGGCAAGGCTCGGTAGCTTCAGAAGAAAAAAAAAAAAGAAGAAGATATTTCCAAATACGGTAACCTAACTTTGGCTATAATACGGGCTAAACGGATTGATATTTAGCAGCGTGACAGAAAAAAATCGCACATTTTCAAACTCGCTAAGCTCCAGCTATGCTACAGCAAAATTAGTGGATTTTTAGGTCTAACACGAAAAATAGATGCTATTATGACAAGCTATTCTCAAACTGGATAACATCCACAATGAACATGGTTTTTGCTGCAACATGTTACAAATACGCTTGCCAATGCGTCTGTAATTGTCGGGGCGGCAGATGCGCACTGTCTTTTCTTGGGAAACCCAAAGTTATGTGGCCATAACCACATAACTCGACATTGTCTTTGTTGACTAGCGCTGTTGTCAAGAGCAACATAAAATAACATTTTGTGGAATCTCATCCCCCCCACCACCACCCGTGTGGAAAGTGGTTTCTCAACACACCGGCAAGAGCTGAGAACAAAGCTGGAAAACCTTTCCCATTTGTGGCTGCTGAAAAACAAAGATGGCGTCGCCGTTTTGGAATCGAAACAAGAAAGCTTCACTCTTGGATATTTTTAGAGAATCCTGCCGTGGGACACTAACTCAACACTGACTAGTGTGAGCAACACGGAGGAGGTTCACTTCTCCACTTGGAGAAGAATAGTGTCATATTTGACAATGGGAGATGTTAAGAGAAGAAAATACATCGGAGGTTGCATAAAATTCAAAAACCTCCAAGCGGACCATCCAGGAGTGGTCTCTCGGAAAGAAAACATGAGAGCCATCCATCCATCCATTTTCTGATCCGCTTTATCCTCGCAAGGGTCGCGGGGGAGGGTGCTGGAGCCAATCCCAGCTGTCTTCAAGCAGTAGGCGGGGGACACCCTGAACCGGTTGCCAGCCAATTGCAGGGTACACACATTCTTGATCACAACAACAATTCTTGCTCACACCTGGGGACATTTTAGAGTGTTCCATTAACCTGCCATGCATGTTTTTGGAATGTGGGAGGAAACCAGAGTACCCGGAGAAAACCCACGCGGGCCCGGGGAGAACATGCTAACTCCACACAGGAAGGCCGGAGCCGGAATCGAACCCTGCACCTCTGCACTGTGAGGTCGACGTGCTAACCACTGGACCAATAGGCCGCCAAAACATGAGATTTAAAGGCAAAATGTCTTGTTTGTATGTTCATTTTCCCTTTGATAAACATTTCCTGGCTATTTGCTACTGGGTCCCGGAGATATCTGCTGGCAGTTGCGCTGGATGTGAGAGTGACTCATATTGTTGCATCATCGCACCTTGGCCCCGGCAGTTCCCTCCGGACCGAGTCCCAAGGCCAAGATGTGTTACAGTTGACTTCAGCAGCTTCCCCCACGGGGACAACCGAGCTGATCACGGGTGGAAATTTCCACTCTTGCATACGGGTTGGCCAGCCGTGAATGACATGGATGCAGAACACTGAATCTGTGTGCGTGTACGTGCGTCATTTTCATCATGAGCGTACCGATTTGCCTCTCCGGAAGAGCAGCTGGTTTCCCGCCAAGGTGAAGTAGCGAGTCTTCCAGCGCTTGATAAACCTCCAGCGGACCTGTTTCTCCTTCAGCTTCCCTTCGATGAGAGGCTGACCTTCCTGATTCACACCTGCAGAGAAACATCAAACAAGAGCAGGAAGACATGAGCTCTTTGCTTCACACAGTCATAGCGGAATATCACCACGGGATCTCTGTTTGTTGATTCTTCTTTGGCTTTTGTGCATTTTTCCTTGGGTGGTAATCTATCCATCCATTTTCTGATCCGCTTTATCGTCACAAGGATCGCAGGGCGTGCTGGAGTCTATCCCAGCTGTCTTCGGGCAGTAGGCGGGGGACACCCTGAACGGATTGCCAGCAAATCAGCCATCCGCGCTCAAACCCACACCAAGGGACAATTTAGAGTGTTCAATCAGCCTGCCATGCATGTTTTTGGAATGTGTTAGGAAACCGGAGTACCCGGAGAAAACCCACGCAGGCACCCGGAGAACATGCAAACTCCACACAGGAAGGCCGGAGCTGGAATCGAACCCGGTACCTCTGCATGTGAGAGTGACTCATATTGTTGCATCATCGCACCTTGGCCCCGGCAGTTCCCTCCGGACCGAGTCCCAAGGCCAAGATGTGTTACAGTTGACTTCAGCAGCTTCCCCCACGGGGACAACCGAGCTGATCACGGGTGGAAATTTCCACTCTTGCATACGGGTTGGCCAGCCGTGAATGACATGGATGCAGAACACTGAATCTGTGTGCGTGTACGTGCGTCATTTTCATCATGAGCGTACCGATTTGCCTCTCCGGAAGAGCAGCTGGTTTCCCGCCAAGGTGAAGTAGCGAGTCTTCCAGCGCTTGATAAACCTCCAGCGGACCTGTTTCTCCTTCAGCTTCCCTTCGATGAGAGGCTGACCTTCCTGATTCACACCTGCAGAGAAACATCAAACAAGAGCAGGAAGACATGAGCTCTTTGCTTCACACAGTCATAGCGGAATATCACCACGGGATCTCTGTTTGTTGATTCTTCTTTGGCTTTTGTGCATTTTTCCTTGGGTGGTAATCTATCCATCCATTTTCTGATCCGCTTTATCGTCACAAGGATCGCAGGGCGTGCTGGAGTCTATCCCAGCTGTCTTCGGGCAGTAGGCGGGGGACACCCTGAACGGATTGCCAGCAAATCAGCCATCCGCGCTCAAACCCACACCAAGGGACAATTTAGAGTGTTCAATCAGCCTGCCATGCATGTTTTTGGAATGTGTTAGGAAACCGGAGTACCCGGAGAAAACCCACGCAGGCACCCGGAGAACATGCAAACTCCACACAGGAAGGCCGGAGCTGGAATCGAACCCGGTACCTCTGCACTGTGAGGTCGACGTGCTAACCACTGGTCCACCGGACCACCCATAGTGGTAATCCACCCATGTATTTTCTTTCGAGCTTGTATTTATTTGGGTGGCACCTTTGTGCAAGAGGCAGGGTACACCCTGGCCTCACCTTTACCCTGGCTTTCAACTCAGCATGATACTTTGCCCTTCAGCTTAACTGTTTTATTTTTCACATATTCAACTTTTATTTATGTGCAGCACTGTGTTCAGCTGTGGTTGGGTTTTTTTTTTCACCTAAGTGCTCTATAAATAAAATGGAGTTGGACTGAACACCAGCCAGTTGCAGATCGCATGGAGACAAGCAACCATTAACACTGATGAATGATTTACTGTCTCCAATTAACCTAATGAGCGTGTTTTGAGGATGTGGGAGGAAGCCAGCGCACTCCAAGAAGATCCACACCCGAGCCTGGGAAGAACACGCGGACCTCAAAAAGGCAAGGCTGGAGGATTCAAACTGCCACTGGATTCAAACTGCCAACCCCAGAGTTCTGAAGCAGAGATGTTAAGCACTCCTGCGACGCACTGCCCAAGTTTCATCTTTTGCTGCATGAATTCAGCAGACTCATATCGCGTGCACACAGAGCAGCATTGTCACTTTTTAATCAAAGAAAGTTCAAGGAAGAATACTTTGTTTTACAGTAACACTTTCTAGACGGCACCACCGCACACAACCTGGACTGGTTGCCATTCAAATACAGGACACGTACAGACGGACAATCCTTCATACTCACATTCATGCCTGTCAACAATTCAGCCTTCGGTGAACCCATCGTGCAGCATGCAACTGACAACGTGGCCACCGTGTTGCCCTGAGTGCGATGGGACAATTACAAAGGGATACTACCCAAAATCTGCTTGTTTCTACAAAGTACAGGGCAGTCATTTTTGAAAAAAATTCTCCGAACAACAGGTTCCGATTGCAGTTATGAAGAATACTGGTCTTCATTTACTCACACTTCTTTTGAACACATTTTAAGAGGAAGTGTTGTTGTGAATAACAATTTGCACACACAATGGGATGACTCATGCAGCACTCGGGGAGGTGGCCTGCTCAAGAACAAAGCAGCCACATTAGAAACTACTATTACACAAAAGGCCGCGGGCTTGTACAGGATTTGAACCCAGGACCCGTCACACCACAAGTGAGAATCACACCCATCAACCGGTAAGCAAAGTACCGCAACGATTACATTCTGGTCTGGTCACGAGTCATATGGCAACAATTGCATTCACACTCAACTTGGAACAAAAATCACGCCTCCTGGCTGGAAGCCAAAGAAGCAAGTTTGGCACCTGCCTGAAATTTGTTTCCGTGTTAACAAACATGAACCTGGTGGTCAAATTTATGAAAGGTAAATGTTGACCGTATTTTCCGCACTATAACGCGCACCTAAAAGCATTCGATTTTCTCAAAAGCCGACAGTGCGCTTTATAATCCGATGCGCCTTATATATGGATCAATATTCTGATTTCTTGGACATAGTATCTTGATGTCCTGTAAAGCGCTTTGTGACAGCTGCAGCGGTTGTGAATGCACTATGTAAATACAGCTGTATTGTATTGTATTCCCTCTAGCATACCACCATCTCGTGCATGCATAACACACCTCAGCCACTCTTGTAGCTTCTATTCTATGCGCCTTATAATGTGGTGCACCCTATATATGAAAACTGTTTTCAAGGGCAAGGTCAAGGTCACCTTTTTAAAATCGGCCATGCATTGAAGGTGCGCCTTATACGCCGAAGCGCCTTATAGACCAGAAAATACGGTAAATAAAATACATAGTCATACCATGTACCTCTCTCTCTCTCTCTCTCTCTCTCTCTCTCTCTCTCTCTCTCTCTCTCTCTCTCTCTCTCGCTGACCATAACATTCAGAGACACCTCATTTCTCCCTAACTGCCTAAAACGTCTTGAGAAGGAATGGCTGAAGCTGATGACTGATATTTCCACGAAACCGAGTCAGGATCTTGCACAGAAGCCAAAAACTGAGTACAGTAGCTACATTAGCCAGAAGCCAGAAGCAACGTTCCTGATTCCCAGGTAAAATAGCAGTGCGGTGAATTGAACACATTATGAGCTGTGTGAAAAGGACTTGGACTTGGATCGCCTTGCTCGATTGTTACAAGCCGAAAGTCCAAATGACTTCCTTCGAAGCTTTAATTAAAACCAAGTCCGCTGAAAGCTGAACGGACCTGACAACTCAAAGACAGATTTGCATTCCAACGGCTCATTCGGTCATACAACCATCTCTAATGTTGGGTTCCACAAATAACCTGTGGAAGTCTTTGTACTTGTACAACTAGGGATGCAACGGGAAAATATTGAACCGTATGGTCCGCTCTGAACGGAACAATACACTCTTACGGAATGTGGTTTTTTTTTTTTTTCAGATTTGCCATTCATTTCGCAATATTGACGCTTTACCGGCCACTGTGTGTGTGAGTGTTTTATTGCTACATTTGACCAACTGTGACCAACAAAGAAAACATTTTCTTTTTGTAGTATCATCGCAAACGAATGCTTTCGAATTGCACGGGAATCACAGATGAAACCGATTTGTTCCAACAAGTGAAATAGAACCTACAAACGAGAAGTTGTTTTGGGAACAAAATGCCTCAAATAATCTCCATCATGTGTGCCGTCACGGGAGACTTAAACTCCGTGATCATTTAAAGGGTAACTTCCACTACAAGTGTGTTTCACTTACATGTTATTGAGACATACAGGAAAGCAGTACATTGTGTGTGTCTCGGTGTAATTTGTTTAACTTTTTTTTTTTTTTTTTGCAGAAACACGAAAGCACATTTTATTATTTAAGCATCTGCTTATATTTTTCCAGCTGGATTTCTACGCACCCCCCAAAAAAAGAAAGATGTTTTTAAATGTGAGTTTCTTTTTGAGTCATGGAAATTTAATGTAAGACCTGTCACGATCAATTATATTAATACGCCACCGTCACACCAAAAGTTGGTCACTGTTCACTTGGATGACTGACACGTGACACAGTTGATGGTGGGGCTATTTTTATGCAAATGTTGATGTTTCACACATTTATAAGATGGAGACGTTTTGTGTTATTCTTAACTTGTGAATTGAGTCCAATATCTCCTGGCATGAAAAGAGCTGCTGCAAGTGAATTCTAAACCCCGCGAAATTATTGCTGCGTGTTTTTACTTTGGTTACAACAAAGCTCGCCTTGTTTCCTGTCAGCTTCACTCAACACATTTCCACTAATCCCTGGAATTACAATGGTCGATAAATATTGTTTTTATTGCATCAAAGTTCTGCGATAGACTGGCCAAAAACTGCAGAGTGTACTCTTGTCCAAAGCCTGCCGGGATAGCTCCAGCTCACCTGTGACCCTGATTGAGACAAACACGATAGAATCTGGATCGGCGGACGCATTGATGACCATTTAAAGCACAGGTGTCAAAGTCAAGGCCCGGGGGCCAGATCTGGCCCGTTGCATCATTTTATGTGGCCCGCGAAAGCAAATCATCCGTGTCAACTTCTTTTATCCTTGATTAAATCTGTACCAAAATCTCGTATTATTATACGAAATAAATATCGGTGACATTTTGCAATAATTTTGTTATCGTTTATATTCACGCGAGCAAAATTGTACAAATACTTGACTGATTTCAAAACTAGTGAGCCATCATTTTTTTTTTTGTGTACAAGTACTAATACGACGTGATGGTTAAACATTTATTCGGTTTCACTGTCTTAACGGCCCTCCGAGAGAAGACGTTATTCCAAAGTGGCCTGCGACAAGAATGAGTTTGACACCACTGATTTAAAAAAATCATCATCATCGTTAACTATTTTGTAGTGGAATAAAGCGATAAGAGGATGTTTGGAGGACAATGAAGCATTGGGATCCGTCTCAGGTTTGACTGATAGGTAAACGGTCAGCCTGATGGTTCGGGACACATGTCGTGGCGGGGCAACAATACTATGCTGACTCTGTAAAACAACTGCTGTTCAAAGTGCTTACAAGACTTCGGCTTCCACTGAAAATAGAAATTGGTGAAACTAAATCATCTCCCGCCTGCTTGCACGCAACCCCCCACCCCCCACCAAGATCACATGGAGTACTTCCAGAGTGAAAAAGACAAACTTTCAACATGTTTGACATGAATACAATGTGTATATTAAAAACAATTATGCCTTTGACATGACTTGCATGTGTACCATCTGCTCTCACTTTTCACACAAAAGCCTTTTGGTGAAACAGAGTCGGTCGAGGACACATGTGGACCTGTAGCTATTTGTGCACGCACACGCACTGGCAAGAAAACTGCCAAGCGGCAGCTTCTCTAAGCCCCAGTCTTGCAAATATATCAATACATGAGAGATAGATTAAGGTATTAATGGATCTTTGTCATGATTCATCAGTTGACCCTCTTCGGGTTCAATTTTTTTGTTGTGCCCACTGGCTTGTATCCACAACTGCAATGGTTGAGCATGTAACAAATTCAACCATGACCTGTGTTCTGAAAAAAGCTCTTTGCCATACGCGTTACGTTAGAAGAATCCAATGTATAACTTTGTCTGTCTCACACACACACGCACACGCGCACACACACACACACACACACACACACACACACACACACACACACACACACACACACACACACACACACACACACACACACACACACACACACGAGCAGTCATCTTAATGCGATTCAGGGATGGAAACATGACATCATCGGGGCTAAGTGCTCTTCGAAAACGGGTCACTGGTCCAAAGTCAACTAATCAGAGCTGACTGACTGAGTATATAGATCCTTCACAAAGAACACGGCAAGTATTTTCGTCACCTGGAATATTCTGGGAATACATTATTATGTTTCAAGGGACTCAGGGGTCACTACCACATGGTTCATTGGAATGTTTTCAAAGTTGCAGTCCAAAGAAACTGACTACAATTGAGATGGCGAATAGATATCTCTTGCAAGAAATTATCCTTTGTGTGTGTGTACCTGTGGCCTTCTCGGGGTTGTTGCACATGAAGCATAACCAGCCTCCCTCTTCTTCACTGTAGCCAAACAGGTCAAAGAAGCGAACCTCCTCCAGCTGCATCTGGAGACTGTCCAGGTCCTGAAGAAGCGCGGAAGCACAAACAGAAAATGACAATTGGACTGACACAACCTCTATTTTATTTCCAACATCCAACAGCGTGGATCAACTGGTCATGCCTGCGTAGTTGGATGAAGCCATGTCCAAATCAGACCGACGCATAATGTAAACAGCAGTGACAGAGGGACAACAGTGATTATCATAATTCAAATCAACTTAGTTCAGTGTAACTAATGGACATAACTGGTTATTTATTACTGTACATCTATTTATAGGCCATATACCATGTGTGCCTGTGTGCTGAAGCAATGTACAGTACAGAAGAGCGGAACTCGTACCAGAAGAAAGCAAAACTCAGAAAGAAATAAGATGAGAACATAACATTAACAAAATGGCAGCTCACAAAACACGAGTCTATCTTTCGGAGATGCCCGTTTCTCAACATCCCACATTTACACCTTTAGAATGTGTTTAAGGTTCAATAGCTAAAAATCTCAGCTAGAAAGTAACAGGGACAAGTCCAAAGACAATAAAAGTCCTAGAAAGCAAACATGGGAACCGATAAATTACCTTGCACAGCATAATGAGAAATAAATAGTCACTAATCAACCACATGTGTTTTTGCTTCGACGGTGCATTGATGTCAGTGCGTGTGTGTGAGTGTGTGTGTGTGTGCCAGGCTGACACACAGCTGGATGGCCTTGATGCACCAGATGAAGGTCCCCCTAGGCACGCTTGAACGACGATTTTAGACGAGAGGAACTTATTTGCAGTGAGACAACAGGATGTGGCTCAGAAGATTGTTTGGCTGCTGGATATCCTCAATTCACCCCATTCGGCATCTCAAGACCACCCCTGCTTTTTGCTGCACGTCCTCCCTGTTTTACTAGTTTTTGATCAGGGTGATGATTGGATGAAAATCCTTCGGTGTGCAATAAAGACGGCACATGTGGACCAAGACACTACTTGAGATATAAAATCTAAAGTCCTTCTAATATTGCGATCCCACTTATTCATGAAACACCCTCCTACGAATTTATCCAACTGTTATTTTAGCGCTCTTTCTCATTAGGATCACGGGCGAGAGGCGGGATACGTGATGGACACGCCAATCAAATGCAAGACACGGAAACACATTTATGAACACTCACATTCACCCGGGGGGAGATTTCGAGTCTTCAATTAACCTGAAATGCATGCCTTTGGAATGTGGGTGGAAACCGGAGTTCCTGAAGAAAACACACGCATGCAAACTTCATGTGTAAGATGAGATCCATGACCCGAATCCAGGACCTTCGGCTACAAGTCAGACGTGCAAACCGCTCTCTTTCTGACAAAACATTGTTATCTCAAGTGCCGCTCCACTCTTCCTCATCTTCCATCCTGTCCCCCCGTCTTCAGCCTTCCTCGCACCTCCTCGACCCAACTTGATCAACAGAGCAGCTATATCAACAACAATCTCCACTCGGGACACAGAGGGGGTGGAAAGGTGAAATAATAATCGTTAATTGTCCCAGACCTCCACTCAGCTCAACTTCCCTGCCGTCATGCTTTCTTTCCTCTTCCTCGACTCTCCTTTTGAAATGACTCAAGAGACTGCTTGGGGAAAAATAACACCCACTCGCACCTACCGTTACTCCATTTCTAATTGCCATTTGTCCCCTTTTCACATTTAACTAATCTGTCTTCTCTCCCGCAGAAGTTTTCAATTTTGTCGTAAAACTGCTGAGCTGACTCATAAAAGGCAGAACTTCAATTTCAGAGGCCCGAAAAGTCCCCAAAAGTCTCTGCTTTAAATCTCGCTGTCGATGATACTATTCCTGTCGCACGGGATGCCGATGCTCACTTTTCCTCCCTCCCCTCTCTCTCTTGATATGTTTTACATTTTGAAAAAACAGCTGAAGATTTATTTTTCACACCCCACACATAGATAGGAACACTTCACACAACAAACATGCATGTTCCCACGGGCTTTCATGGACACACAGTACTTTCCTTGAGTACATGAGCAAAAACAATGTGCTGTATCATGAACATTTGGAAGGAAACTGTACAAAAAGTAAAAGTTCAGCATCACAAATCGTGTATAGCCAAACCACCGTAGCACACTCCAAAACTAAGGCCTACCAAAAAAACAAACAAACAAAAAAAAAACCACTTCAAATTAATATCAGTCAAAATTATGCCGGACGTGATGACAACGAGCAGGAAAAAAAAAAGAGGGAAGAATTTTGTCCTAAGTCCACCATGTTTTGCGCAGGCACGGCCCACTCAAGAAGCCTAAAAAAACAGAGCCACCTCACAAATGATGCCCACACTACCTTCTCACGGTTGGCCACAACATTTAGGTCATTTCAGCGCAGTCATCCAATTCGGCAAAGACGTCTGAAAATAAATCCTCTCCTCTTCCACTTATTTATGCTTTGCTTTCCTATTCAGCACGTGTTGTGTCAGCCAGTATGATGAAAATATCAACCAAGCAGTTTTTGTGGCATCCATCCCTGGGGCGTAGTAAAGAAGCAATAAATATCTCTGCGCTCATTTTATCTGGATTTTCACCAAAAAATAAAATGGGTTCATCCTTGGGCAAATTTCCCAACCTTCCACAATTTTGCATGAATTAGCTGTGTAGTTCTTGTGCAATCATGTGAAAAAAAAAACAAACTCACCAACAGACAAAACGCTACTGTTAGTGCACACTCGTGTGTGTGTGTGTGTGTGTGTGTGTGTGTGTGTGTGTGTGTGTGTGTGTGTGTGTGTGTGTGAGTATATATGAAGAATTGAATTTGGGTGGTCATATCCAAGTGTGCGTTTGGGCTCCATATGGTAACCGCGGCAGCCGAGAAGAAAATAACTGCCGTAATATTTTTCTGAGCAACCGCTTAACTTGACACTTCAGGAGGACACAGCATGGCGCCGACACATTTGAAACTTGTGTCCACACTTGAAAAAAAAAACAAAACAAAACAAAACAAAAAAAAAAACGTGTTTGAAAAGTGTCAAATGATAAATGGAGATTTAGCAGCTGACCTCATTGCCACCAGAATTCAGCACGATTTATCACAACCGAAAGGAATAATTAGCATAAAACTGACCACTTTTTTCAACACGTGCAAGAAGGTCTTTCTTTGTGGCGTGTGCTGCAGCCAGACTCAGCCATAAATCCTCCTCAAATACCTTTCTGTGCGGGGTGGCGTGTTGCGTCATTGCCATGTGGAAGCTGTGAGCTCCTTTGAGTTGAGTCTTGCCCCAAAGAGAAGCCAGCCTCTGAACGCATTCATCTCCAGAACTTAGCGGAACTTTGGACTTACTCTACAAGAGACAAACATTACAAGGAATGACGTAGATGTTGGGCAGAATTTGTTACTGAACCGAGGTGTAAAGATGCAGGTGGAGACTTGTAGCTTGACAAATGTGTTCTTATTGAGGCGTTTCGGTGCACCTGTAGATGGAGCAGCATGATGTGTATCCAAAGATGAGGCCGGCGGCTGCTCAGGCAAAAACTGGACTTTGTGTACAGGCAGTAATGACCCTTCAGGGGACAGGAGAACGACAGCTTGGCCACACAGCCTCTGTTTGATTCTGTCATAAAATAATATGCAACGCCATTAGTTGTGTCTTAAGTGAGAAGAGGATAGATAAATGAGTAGACGCATTCAACATGACAGGTATCCATCAGGGCTTCTCGATCGTGAAAAAAATATTAATCACGATTCTAGACATTTTCGGTCATTCTGGTCACACAGCAATGATAGAATGCACAACAAGGCCGTGGAGCTAATACTGTTGAAAACTGCACTAAACCCCTTTGTACCAAAATAAAAGCACAAAACTTTATATAACAGATGTTGCATGTGAAAGGTTAAAGACATCAAAAGTGAGTTTTTCATTTCTGAATTTCTTCTCACATGACCTTTAGACCTCTTTTGCTTCTAAACAAAGTGACCTGCCAGGAGTTTAAAAGCACATTCCACATTAATATGACACCCCATTGTCCTTAACACACAATTTTAGTAGTTTAAGTTCCATGAGAATGAAATATATGCTGCAAAAAAAAAAAAAAAAATTCCCCCCGCAGTTCTCACATGGGAGCTTGTCATAAAAGGCGAGCCATTCATCCGGCATTCAAACAGTACCTCGGCATGCCCTCTGCAGGCTCACTGCTCAGATTGAGGGCGAGTGATTTAATATTTGCTGAGCTCTGGTGGCTCAGACCCCTTGTTAAAAGCACACATGTTCAAATTAAATTACATCTCAGAAGAGATGAAATCACACATTGATGCCCTCTGGATGGTATTAACATTATTATGAAATAACTTGGAGTAATAAATCTACGTCTGGTTGAAGCTTAAAATTCAATGATGGAATGCTGAGTCCTAAATACTGCTGCATTTTTTTTTTATGCGGGTAGGGTCGACGTAATATTTTTTTGGGGACGAATGCAATGGGTTAACAGGGTAAAAAAAATAGAGAATAAGATAAAATATAACGTTTTTATTCACGCTGTGGTGACATGCTAATATTTCCAGGACTTTTTTTTTAATTTCTATTTTTTTTATGTGATTAAGAACAGATTTGGTTGGGCTATCTGTCTGCTGCTCCGTGTTTTCTTTTGTGTACAAAATTAATTACTGTTAATTTTAAAATTAAATACTACAATTGTAAAAAAAAAAAAATTAAAAAAAAAAAATCGAAAACTTCAATATTATTATTATTATTATTATTAGTAGTAGTAGTAGTAAGATTGGATAAAGGAAAATGGGTGAAATTCACTGAATTAACTCTAAAGGGATGCATGTATGTATTAATATTAAATATGAACATCACCGGTCATCTTACCTTCTATTACGCATTGCTCTGGTATGGGGATCTGTTGGACCATGCCCTTACAAAACTCTCGGATCATCTCAAGATTGTCTCTTAAGTGGATGAAGAGTCTGTCCGCTACCTCCGCCACCTCCTCCTTGTTCTTCTGCCCGCTCCAAGCTCTGTCTGCCTCTTTGATCCCATTGTCTGGCGCAGGGGCTGCAGTGGATGTGGGTGCATTGTCCGTCAGTGTCTTGGCAGAAGGTGTCGCTTCCCGTTGTGCCGCTGAAGGCTGGCAGGCCAACGTGCTGGTGAATGTCAAGTTGTCTGGACTTAGCTCCACTCCTTCTCCATCGTCGCCGCCATCCGAATTGATGGATCGCAAGCGTACAACATGGAGAGCCAGGCTCTTGGACCTGTGTGTGAGAGACCACAGTGCCATCACAAGAATGCAATTTCAATCTAAAAACATCCATAAATAATGTTCCACTTGATCCTTGGTGCAAATAAATAAAACACAAAGTGGGTAAGACACAGTGTTGATAATGTCGCAGAAAGGTGCCGCCGGCAGATCTGAAAGTAGGTAGTCTGTGCTAATGTGGGAGTGATCACAGCCAACTTCAATCTTGACATGGCAGTGTGCAGACAACATGTGCGAATCAAACACATGGTGTTCCAAATAAATCATCTGCAAAGTGAAGTGGGCTGTAGGACACCAACTCCTCAACTTCCATCCTTCAAACTCCACAAAGGAAGGCTTAATCACGGATCCTTATGTCTGTGAGTCCGACGCTGGAACCGTATTACATTGTGCGGTCCTCAAAAAACAAAATGAAAAGGCTTTCAGTCAATCTGCGCTGACGATCACATTCTCTCCCACCTGTTGAATCTCATCTCTCGTTGCTCATCTCTCACCGCTTGATTCAGGCTGTATCGCCGCTGGGGGGCAGGAGAGTCCTCCTGCGCCTCCGACTCACCCCCCGCCTTCACCGGCTTCCTCGGCTCAGACCCACCTCCGCCTACTCCTCCTCCTTCGCATTGAAGCGATGCGTTGGGAGATGGCGAGCAATGCCCGTTCTCGCTGGGAAACACACGCACACACACACACACACATCCACACACACACAAAAGGGTAAATGTATTGAGGCCATGCGATGAAACTGATATTAATGTGTGTAGTTGCCTTCCGTCACATTCTGGCTTACATTTGAGTATTTCTAAAATTCTCACACTGGCTGGGTCTAGTTCTCTTTCTGTCACCTTGTACTCCCCCTTTTTCATCAGCCCCATTCTGCCCCAGCTTTTTCATGGTTCTTTTTATGAACTGCCAAGTATTGCCTCGATCTTGTTCTTTGTTCATGTCTCGGTTTCTCCTGCCAAAGTAGTTAATAATAATTGCTATGGCACTCAGTAGACAGCAGACTTCATTCAAAGTTGAACTGTTAATATGACTGGTATGAAATCCAATTTAGGTGAGGTTATTTGTGTTTGTTTGTCTTTATGTTTGTGTTTGTTTGTCTTTATGCTAGGAAGCAGGCTACTTTCTGGTTCATCAAGTATGATGACATGGACATGAGGCTACCATTTGCATTCTGGAAAGACAAGTCAATTAAGACAGATTTTCCCCAAAAATATAATCAGTGTAGATATATTCTAAATACTGTTTATAGATGTATTTCGTGGTTTTTCAGCACGGGGGGCCAACCCTCGACAAAGTTAGATGGGAATCAGTTACGTCGATTTTGCAGTCAGGGAAACCAAAACAACACATCCTGCTTTCACGCTTGCCAGAGGTAAAAACAATAACAGTTTTCCTTTGTCTCTCTGACGGGTTATTCTTACCACCTCGTTTGACTGTCATGAGAGGAGAAAACCCCAAGAAAAGCCCTCAATCTTGCACAAAATGCTTTTCATCCTTCCACATGCAAAGTGGCACACAAACACATGCTGTCATTCATGCATGCTTTTATTACGTGACATTTTGTGTGTCAGTGGGGAGGGGGAGGTTGAACTTTCAGACGTGATTGTCTTCAAAATATCGCAGTTTTTCCCTCGATACAGTGTTGCCAGAGAGCATCCCAGAACGTGGGAAACCACAAATAAGAAGAAAGAGTAGTACTGTAGGAGGAAAATAAATAGAAGACGATGTTAGGCTAAGCTAACTGCAATGTAACTTTTCTACTTGTGATTTTTCATTGTGATGAATGATTAGCGACACGTGACACGAAAACTCAGCACTGATAATTGCTCCTCTATTGGTGTTCAGCAGCTGCACAAGCGAGAGCTCACTTCTACTTTGGCTATCATTTTGTTTCATGCCAAAGTGAGCACAGGTGTCAGGATTTGCAATCGGTACTATTGAACAGGAGAAAGAAAATCTGAACGCACGCCAACTGAAGAACATACCTTTGTTTCCGAAGAACAAAGGATGAGCGCGCCTCTTCCTCCGACTTGCGGCATGCGGTGGCAGTCTCCTCCAGTCGCCTCCCCAGCAGTCTGGCTATGGCTGTGAAGGAGTTGCTCAGTCTGTAGAGGTCTTTCCCATAGGCTCCGAGCAAAGACGGGTAACGGTCTGTCAGAGCTCGGATCTCCAGTAGCAGTGTGTGGTGAAAAGTGTGTTCCATGTTGCCCAGAAGAGACACCAGGTAAACCAAAGAATTGTGTGCATGTGCCTGAGAATAATAAAGAACACGTTACAGTTATAGAGTGTGTTTTTTTTTTTAATACGTTAAAATCCAGTCATAAAACCTTTGAGCTGCGGGTCAACTTTTTCTCTGCAACTACAAAGTCTACATGAAGACACGAGTGACTTTGCTTCGATTCATTTTAAATGCAAATATTTGACCCACAGAAAAGCCTCTATATTCTCAAGTTTCCCACTGGTCTCGTGAACACTTCTGGTTTTAAAAAAAATACACAGTTATATACGTATTATCCAACAACAGATCAACCAGGCTAGTCACTTTGGGCACACAATCGTAACTACGAGCTAGAATTACATCTTTGGATGCTGTGTGTTCTATTCTGCCAGTAGGAAAAACTCATATGTGCTGGCAGTCATGCTGCATGATTACCCCCCTGTGCTGGATCTAATAACATTTTGTGAGTGGAGAAAAAAACGGTAGGATTCAGTGTCAGCACTCTTGCAATTTTAAATACAAACACCCCCCCCCCCCATTAGTTGATAAAAAGTGGATGAAATAAGAAAAAAAACGGAGGTTTCTAAGATCGCTGCTTTGGCTGGGCTGCATCCTTTAGTTTCCCCGAGAGACAAACATGAGTGATTGATGGGACGAATGATGTTGCTGCATAATTTGGGCACGTTTCAAACTTTTGATAATAACCTCATGTGCGAATGTGAAAGAGTAGGAGTAGTGGGCTTCCACCCAACAAACTAAGGTAGTTAGGAGGCTCTAAGGCACAGCGCGACAATAAAACAGAAGCTCGTTGGGGTGAAGATTGAAGCTATAAAGATAGAATTAAACAATTATTATTGCATCACAGTGCTGGCTTTATTGACTTGTTATTTTACGTTCTAAAAAGCTACGGCGCTTACAAGCTTACATCCAAAGCAGATCTTACGTAACATTTCGGGCATGATGATGCTGGACTCTCTAGTCAATTGACAGCATTTTCTCAACAAATGCTAATCCGGCTAATTGAAGCCCTACTGAGAGGACGCACAAGATTTTTCACAGTTGCCGTTAGACGAAAACCGAGCCCTAAGACTTAAGACACTTGAATTTCTTCTTTTGTACAATGCCATGTTTTCTATTTTTAAGGTCTTACTGTGAAGACGAATTAAGTTGACGTGTTCGGACCAAACAAACAACAGAGATGGTCGTTCAATACGGATGAAGCGCTTCCGAAGCGAAAGGAAGCCAGAGAAAGTTGTGCAACCAGTAAAGGGGGTGATGTGTGTGTGAGGGGTTGGGGCGGGGGGGGCAACACAAACTTACAGGAGGCATTGCCATCACTAGGAGGTCTATGCAGAGTCATTTCCCAGAAAATCAGGCCTTATTTTCCAAATAGCTCCAGTGTGAAGAAATACAGGACATTAGGAGCCAAATGACCTGTAACTATCTGTGTTACTAAAGATGAACAAATACACAAACACACACACACACATACACACGCACGCATACACACAACTTACATCTTGTTGCATGAGAAATAAGCAGATCTTTTTAACACTACGGGGCACCACCTGTGTGTGTGCGTGTGCGTGTGTGTGTGTGTGTGTGTGTGTGTGTATGTGTGTGTGTGTGTGGTTGGATTACTTGGCTTTAGAAATTGTGATGCATGTTGCATTGTGCTAGTAAAAGCTTCAAATACTGTAAAAGGTATAATTGTTTGTGCTTTCCAAAATCTTTTTGTGGCCTTAGCTCATAAAAAAAAACAAAAAAAAACAGCAACAAAAAAAAAACCCACCTTTGCTTCTTTTATTCTGTGTATTTACATGGAAAGAGTCAATTCCATATGCCTGAGTGAGATTAGCACACAACAGACTAAAAGCAAATAAGTGATTGATAGTGAAGTGCTACTTTTGCCTGACTTCAATGCAGCCAGCGCGGGATCAGTCTCGACTCAGTGACTGTATGAATGTGAGAGAGTGGATGCTTGTCTGCCACGATTGGCGATCAGTCCAGCCTTTCACCCAAAGTCAGCTGGGAAAGGTTCCAGCTCCCTAAGCAGTATAGAAAATGGACCCATGGATACTTCATTGGATTCTTTGTTGAGTGCTTTTGTTTAGTCACGTTATTAAACTGAAGTTGGTGAAATGGAATCATTGCAACTCAGTATGAAAGAATGCAGCCAGGCCAACAATTCAGCTCACTAGTTGGTACTCCCATTCCTCATGAATCAGTTGTCCATTGTGTGTGCGTGCGTGTGTACGTGTACCTCGCTGATGATGCCCACAGCACCATGGATTTTGGCCACGTGACCCAAGAGAGCAGGCCATTGTTGTCCCGTAGTCCTGAGCTTTGGCAGACAGCTGACCAGTGAGGAGGGGCTGGCGAGAGACACATCCACCAGAGTGCCTAAAATGGCCTCAATTAGAGACTGGTTGCCTAGGTAACTGACCAGGGCAGGCACCTGAGGGCTCAGCATCTGAAAAATAGAGTTGTATTTGTATTTATTAAACTTTTACATTGACTCCAGCAACATAAGGAGGCTTCGGTGACATGCGGCAGGAGCGAGAATGTCTCTTTAAGAGTTGAAAAGCAGAGCGAGCGAACAGTGAGGTGACTGACGATAAACAAAGACACGACTGTAGGACCGTCTGGAAACACTCTGGCAATGAACTGTTCCTCCTTATTATTCTCTGCTAGACAGAATTGGATCAGACGATAGCAGAACAATCCGGCTGCTTCAATGGCATTTACGTTCAAACGGTACCGACTCCCCGGCATTTCTTTTTAATGTTTTCATCCGCACATTGAATCTCACCAGCGGATGCTGCTCAGCCACCATTTGAAGCAGTCTGATCAGGTGTTGTTGTTCTGCGGAATCCAACTGTGACAGTACAGCAGTGAGCTTGCCAAGGTGACGGTGTATGACATCAGGTTGTCTGGGGTAGACTGAGGGGAGCACGCGGAGGAGCATGTGGTTGCCTGTGGACAGACAGTGACGCCACATCATTTTATGTATGCAAAGAATAATACACAGGTCACCTTTTTATTTGATTTTGATTCACGTTGAACTGTTCTGAATGAAATCAGACAATAAATGGAAAACTTAAAATCATCTCATGACACAGCAACGTTCATCCATGTGCATCAAATGCGATGCTTAACAAGACACACTTTTTTCAACAGGCTGGTCTTGGCGAATTATTGCACCTTCTGAAATGACACTCTAGTTATCTCAAGTCCTTATAGACTGCTCAAAGGAAGAAGATTGCTTGATGATTGCGAATGAGGAACACGGACCCGATGTACATTTTCACCCAACATTCCACTGAATTATTCGACCTAAACAGAAGCATGACAATCCCTGAAAGTTGGTAGGGACCACATACAAAAAGAGTAGCATGAGGTAACCTAGAGGATCTTTTTGATATTTGATTCTGAGAATATAGTCCATGTTGCTTCAGATTTTACAAAAAGATGATGCATAGTTATAACTCATTTTAATGGACTCCCGCTTTCATCGAATGTGAAAAAACTGTGGGAAGGTGAACCATAGCTATAAAAGGATGCATCAGTCATACTCACGATGTCCATTTCCCCCTGCAATATGCTTAAGACCCCGCTGCTCATAAAACTAGACATATATTGCACAGGGCGTGTACAGAGGCAAAGTTTTTCATAGCCATTAGGCTGAAGCTGAAGCATTTCCGGGATTCTTCTGAGGAATTTTTAAGGGTTTGCGCAGAAATACACTGTGGGGGATTTCAGGAGTTATACGAGTCGACCCTCTGTCATGCGCAGATCTAAACACATGGAGAGCACGTGGGATAATAATATAGACAGTGCCTAAACTTCCAGCATTCCCCCTTTTAAGCTCTGCATACACTTTATTATTCCAGATGTGTTGTCTTTAAATCCCTGTTCACGCAGTAAGAGTAACTCCCCTGTGATGGAAAAATGTCAAGAGATCACGGCGCGTGCTCTGGCTGCTGCTGGTCGGTTCGGTTGCTGTAGATGGCACTAGGGTGCAGTGAAGCTGTAAAATAAATCAATCAATAAATAAATCTCCTCTGTTGCATGCGAAACAACAATCATGGCTAACCCCAAAGAATAATTATTTCTAAACATGTAAAAACAAAACAAAAAAAAAACTGTCTGATGACCACAATAATCTACTTTGAAATGTTTGTCTGCAGCCCTGACAACAAATTGAAACATAAAAAAAAAAGGGTGTCAAAAATATATACATATCTATGGCTGGGATAGGCTCCAGCACGCCCAGAGAGAGAGAGAGAGAGAGAGAGAGAGAGAGAGAGAGAGAGAGAGAGAGAGAGATTAGCATAGATGTAATTTTAATGGCCACTTCCAATTTTGTTTCCTAATTATAACAATAAATACTAATCCAGAGAGATCAGCAGCGCTTCTATACAGCTTGTCATCATTAGGGTTCCTTAGGGCCCAAGGTGAGCTGGAGCCTATCCCGGCTGACTTTGGGTGAGAGCTGGGATACACTCTGGGCTGGTCGCCAGCCAAACTCAGACAAAGGTGACATATATTGGGGTGGTTATATTGTCGGAATGGCGGCCTGCGTGTTTTGCTTCAGTATGTCAACATAAATGTTGGCAATTATAGTTCCCTCAATAAACTGTAGCCTTAGTGCCCGCATACCCAGACCATGACACTTCTACTACCATACTTGACTCGAGGCAAGACGCATTTCTTCATGTTTCTACCTCTCCTCTGGTTGCCGCCAAACACACTGGGCACCATTTGAATCAAATGCGTTTCTTTCTTTGGCTCATTCGACCACAGGACATGGTTCCACTGATCCATGTCCATAATCAGCTCAAGATGTACTCAGCACTTTAGAGGCTAATGCCTGTGTCAGGAGTTATTTTCAGGAAGAAATTTACACCGGTATGCATGCGTTAGTTATACTGACTACATTGTAGCAAAGTGCCATTTCTTTTGCGTTGTCTCATGAAGGGATATAAAAAGTATTTACAATGATGTGAGTGTGTACTCACTTTGCTGGGATACTGGACTGTATTGTTACAAGAGATACAAGAGACAAAGTAGAGAGATGCCCTTTAAGTAACATCCTGTTTATATTACAACATAAACACGTACAAACCGTTCACTTCCGTTGTTGTTGTTGTTGTTTTTTTTAATGTAGGAAGTTTTTTTTTTTTTTTTTTTAAGTAGGAAGCTTTTATTGAATGAAGTTTTGGGTACAACCTGTGATGCAGCACACTGGGTCAGACAGGGTCAGCATTTCATACTGCTGAGTCAGCAGTGACTGAACATGGAAACAATTTTTTTCGTGCCACTATCCATCATTTCGGCATGAGTCAACTATTGTCAGGAAGTAAAGGAAACCCCCCCAAGCTTTACGTTTCCAACATGTAATTTACACATCCATAGGAAGGGTGACGTGCTGTGACTTGTTTCTATTGCTGCTTAAGAGCGTGCCTCAGTGAGCAGCCAAACAATTGATGGTAAATCTAAAATCGGGCCAAAGAGAAGCGTGGGTAAAACAGTACAGTAGGTCGTTAGCGCAAACACTTTAAACATACCCAATCTTGTCAATTGTTTAAATGTTTCTGAATTGTATTATATTATCCAGCCATCCATCCATTTTCTAATCCACTTATCACGGGTGTGCTGGAGGAGCCTCTCCCAGCTGTCTTCGGGCAGTAGGCGGGGGACCCCCTGAACCGGTTGCCAGCCAATCGCAGGGCACGCAGAGACAAACAACAAGTATGCAAAGACACACCGCGAATAAAAACACACAAAAAGGCTGCGCAGAAAAGCCAAATCCCATGAAGAAGTCATTAAGTCCATTCGCTACACCAGAAAGACAAAAGCACAAAGTCCCACAAAAGGAAACATGTGTATATCTACACTGTCCACACACAACCAACAGCATAAAAGCATTAGCTGAGGCGTACAAGGGGTGCAGAAAATTCTGAAGCCATTTAAAAATCTATTTCGAAAACGCTCTGTCTTTCACACAGGCACACACAAACTCTGCATGGGGCAAAAATCAATCTTTCTTTCTCTCTCTCTCTCTCTCTCTCCTCTCCCATTACCTGTCCCCCCATTTCCCTGTGAGTGAGTTGCTGCATCGGCAGTAATATCTGATTACGACACACAGGCTACCTCCAACGACGCATTACTCACTGCTTTGCCGTATTCGCTCTCAGACTGGGGCACTGCTCACATTTCAACGACACAAAGAGCGTTTTTAGTGGAGTTTTTGACCCAGCCCACGCCATGCAAAAACCTGTTGAACGCTTATAAAATCCCCCCAAAACATGCATCCATCCATTTTCCGATCCGCTTTATCCTAACAAGGGTCGCGGGGGGGGGTGCTGGAGCCTATCCCAGCTGTCTTTTGGCAGTAGGCGGGGGACACCCTGAACCGGTTACCAGCCAATCGCAGGGCACAAAGAGACAAACAGCCATCCTCGCTCACACTCCAAAACACTTCAGTCACGCAATGCAGTGCGCAGTGAGCACACAACCTGTTGTGATACAATAATGCACATTCAATGTACTTGTCTTTGTTTTACACATAAATTTGGAATCAATTAAATGAAATGAAAACACCAAAACAATTGTGGAGCCACGTGCCAGTCCAATGAGACGGCTCTTCTTCGGGAACCGAGCCTTAAGATCCCATCATTTGCAGATCTGCGGTCAAGAAAACGGATGGCTGGATGAATCCATCTATCCCAGGTAAAGTGCCACCATGGCATAGACTGCATTCAACAATCTAATATTCTAAATGGTTGAACATGGGTTGAAACAAACGAACAAAAAAAGCTACTCGGGCCAATAAAGTGCTCTGAAGTCTTGCGTGACTTCTCCAAATGATTTTTATGGAATTGTAATTTCAAGATCTCTGCAGAATTTATTGAGTTATTACTTGCAATTTTGGCCAGAAATCAAGTCGAATTTACAGTTTCTCTTCTCTACTGACCTCACTATTTCACAATCATAATCATTCTCATCACATTTAAAAAAAAACACACACACACAAACAAAAACAACCCCCAATAGCTTTATGGTTTGTGCTCTCAAAAACAGAGCTGTGCAAGACAGCATTCAAATATGCTGCCCCCTTTTCATGGAAGAAAAAGGATTTGAACTTACCAGAACTTATTACTCTGGGAGAACTCAAATTTATTGTAAAGGAATGTGAAAATAATGCTACTGGATAATGTGACTGCTTTTAAAATTGGTAAGGTTGGTGTTGAATTATTATGTATTGACATATGTTTATGGTGGATGACTGTTGCTGTTTTTTTTTGGTCGGGAGGGGGGTGTAACTATGTCTTTGCTACCGCACATGGCTTGGTCACCCTTGGAAAAGAGACTTTTTATCTCAATGAGCCTGGTTAAAATAAAGGAAAATGAATTATCAGTAGTCATGAAGATAATGGGATCCAAAGTGCTGACCATATCATCTCCAAAGGTAAAGGCAATGGTAAAAGGTGTGGGTGCGGGTCAACAATTTATATGGACAAAACGACTTAAGTCAATTGGTAGCTTTCCTAAAAAAGTGCAGTTCACTAATTGAATAAAAAAAAAGCAAGTTGTGCGTGAGTTGAATCCAACAAGTCCCCTTAAACTCTGTACAGTATTTGGCTGGGGTAAACTACACTGAACGGCTTCCTGCCAAGGATAATGCTCAGCATTTAACAAGAAAGAATGGGAACGGTAAAGAGGAGGAGGGGGAGGACGTGGAGAGGGAGGGAACAAATGTTGCATGAGGTGTTGGGGAGGGAGCGCTTTCAAAACGAGAGTGGTAGACCGGAGAACGTCAGACACCGGAGGGGACCACAGTGACTGACAGAGCATTTCCTCACATGCACGCAGACACAGAGAGAAGGACAAGGAGGCAAGCCGCACATCTGTTTTCTTCTCCCACCTGTGCACACTCACTCACCTCTCGGCATACACGCACAGCAGAGCAG